AAGCCACCACCGTCAACTGCCGCATGGTATTACCATCACGAATACGTGAGCCGTCAACGGCAACTGGTAGATGGCACAGCCATCGCGATTGCGCGAGCTCCTACCAGAAATTCGTTGCGCCGCCCTTGGGGGCAAAAAACGGTGAAAGCTAACGTACGAAATCAGAGGGCAGCACACGGTGCGATCGCGCGACCCTGCACGTGAGCAATCTCCCAACTCATCTCTGGTCTCTGCTCTCCGCCGTCTGTCACGTTCATCATTGCAGAAAAGGCAATTTCAAGTACCGAAGGGAGCCGTGAAATGACGTGAATTATACTTGTGGTCCATAAAATATTTTTTACATTTAGCTTTGATGTGATTTACGAGAGTTAGTCATCGATAAAACCTGCACCTCAGTTTAATCGTTTTTCAAATCAATATGTAAAAAGCAACGACGCAACAAAATATAGAAAATATTCTAGCATTACAGGTTGATATGAAACGGAGGAGGCGAAAAGCTCCATTTCAGAAGTTCAGATGTATAGATCTTTGAATTTTCAGAAATGACACATAAAGATTTAAAAAATCTATTTACTGGATTTCACACTCGATACCTTGCACGAATTTTAAGATCTGCAGATATATTAAGTAACATTGTAGATTCTGAGCGTATCATTCCTGTAATACACGAAAGCTGCAATAAGAGCTCATTATGTTAGTTTATCACACGGTATTTTAGGATTTGTTGGTATTTTAAAAGGAGTACTTGCGTATGTACGGTGAATAAACTTAAGAAAAAATGTTGAAATCATGAAAGATTCACCAGTAAAAGCAATATTACTTTTTTCATCAGTATTTTTAGTAATTAATAGTAAAAATAAGGTGTTATTGAATAAAAAACATGGTGCACTGAGGAAAAAGATCAGTTGTCTCAAAAGAGGCATACATAGTTGGAAAATATTTTGTTGTCTGAATACTATATAATTGCAAGAAACAATTATTTTGTTACCCTGAGAAAACGTAGTTGTCATATATAACTAATTTTCTGTTGATGACCGTCGAGCAACCCTGCTAATATAGCACCTGCAAACTTCGTTTGCGTATTCAACGGAGTAAACTTGGGTTCAAGTTGATGATTTAAAATGACCAATCTATTCGGTTAGGGTAGCTAATCTTATTTGACTGCAATAACTGATACATTTTGTTGCTATAACAAACTTATTTAGTTACCGTAGCCGATCGAATCGGCAGCAATGGCTATCCTACTCAGCTATCGTAACCGATTCACAATGTTGCAATAGCTAACCTACTCGATTATCGTAGCTGATTCATTCGGTTTCAGTAGCCAACTTACTAATACTAGTTGTATATAGTTGAAGAACACTATGTTGCAGTAGCTAACCTACTGGATTATCATAACCGATTCATTCGGTTTTAGTAACCAACTTACTAATACTAGTCAGTTGTTGTAATTGAAGAACTCATTTATTTTTGACAATTAATTACGCGGTTAAATTTTGTAAAGTTAAACTCGGTTGCAACAACCTACTAATAAGTTACTTTCACCTTTTCATTTAAATCGTTTGAATTTGGCAACGAACAGCAATAGTCATTCGGTTACTTTTACCCATTACTTAGTTGTTTTTAAACGACTTTACTTTAACCAAGCTATTTGCAAGCATGTGTCAAGGTTTCTCAGTGCATGAGAAGAAAGATTGACGTTGATTTAAATGAGTAATGATTGCGCAATCTGATATTTCTTTGGACGCATTTGAACGCAGGATTGTGTTCTCGCAATGCATATTTCATTGAGTCGATCAACTGTTTTTCCTCAGGGTTGCCATTTAAAAGACGATATAAAAATTGCAAATGAAAAATTAAACAATTTTTTTTCAAATCAAATATGCAATCGGAAAATACGAAAAAATCTCAGTATGCATCCCTGTGTGTAAGTGCCTTAATTCTTTTCGTAATTTTTACTATTAGATTCAGGGTTGAAAGTTGGCGAAAATTGTTGATTGGTTGCATACTAATAACTAATTTATACACAGTTTAATTTGGTATAGGAGCACTTTTCGCATGCCTACCTGGCTACATCCTTTCTGAAAATGTCTTAATTTAATATACATAATTGTTTGAAACTTTGTGTAGAAATAGTATATATCGTTGCGCCAAATCGTCTCGTACGATATGAAATATAGGTACATTTTCTCGCCTTCAACAGATGTTAAATTTACCGATGAGTTTATGCTTAGTGTTTTCTAAATAAATTTCACCATTTCTACAAAATTGCCGTATCTTATATTTATTCGATTGAATATATATATATGTATAAACCTAACTGGAGTTTCTTATAATCGTTAGAGAAATCTTTTTCCCATAAGCTTTATAGATCCCTCCTTTAAATTAGGGAAAACCGGTTGTCCATCTTCATCCCGTTGGTCGGAAAACTTTTCTTCGGTTAAAATTTCGAAACCTACACGAGCGGCTAATTTCCACGAAACGTCTCCTGTGAAAACGGTCACTGTTGCGGGAATGCCGAATTCTCGAGCAATGCTATCTCTGCAAAAAGAGCATCATATATTCTTATCATAAAGTTCGTTTTTACACATTTCGTGGTGTCTTTTTTTGTCACGTTAAAAAATATAAACCATGTCCAGGTCACAATGAATTTATTTCCGCTTATCATTCTTGCGGTCATACGAAATTGGGTTATTTCATCTAATTTAGATGTCATGCTATATTATCAAGACATAAAAATAAGTATCCGAAGGGGAATAACTAAATATATTTAAGGATAAAGAATGAATTAAAAATTGTAAAGGTGTAAGTTTACCTGACCCGAAGGATATGTTCTCCGAGACTTTCTCCCCTAAACGTCGGATCCACACTTAGGCCAACTGCATGCATAAACGTTTTCACGCCATATTTCTCTTCGACTTTACTGTTTTCTTCCATTCGTTCAAATAGCGTTAATATATCTTTCATCATCTTCGACTTGAACTGCAATCATGATTAACGATGATGACATGATGATACAAGTATAACAATATACTATTAGCAGTGTATGAATCAGTAAAAATCATGACACGATAATTTCCTTATCAGTTATTTAAGGAATAATACGTCAATACAACAACTGTTCCATTTAAACGACTAGTATCATACGGTAGTGTTAGAAAAATCGTTTATATGATATTTTGCATAGAGTATATTAGTACTAGCATATATTAAAACAACCAAAATTTGCAATGTTTAAACAATTATTATCTTGAAAAGAAGTCTCGCAGACGTAACGCTCATTAGAAATAGAAAGTGTTTTTATTATATATATATCTTCCTTTCCTATTCTTTTACTTTCTATATCGTTACTTGAGCGCATATAAATACACTATAAATATATTGAATGTATGTTGTGAAAAATAGTGACATTCTTTTTAAGCAATATAATCTCACGATTGAATGAAATATCGATTACAATAATATTCATTCTGCTCTCAGAAAAATCGCAAGTTATCAAGACGTCACATGCCCAGTTATTAATGTCTCTCATAATGATTTTAATCACAATTTTTTACTACTTTATTCATTGCATTAAAAGAAATCCATATATTACGAAATATGCGATAAAACTTGATGCGACTTATAAGGTGAAGTGAAACACGTCGAGGAACTTGATCGACGTCGATAAAGAAGATTTTTCCAAATGCCTACGTTGCCGACTTTCGTTTTTATATTGACAGCTGTGTCGAATTATATTGGATATTGTACCAATGGCATACCCCACCTTTCGTTTTCGTGCAATAAATATCAAGAAATCGAAGTAAAACTCTAGAAATCCTCTGGATTCATGCTTTCTGGGGCCCTAATTGACAGCAAAGGGACCTTCTGCGCCATCTGTGATTTCCAGGTCAATTAAATTTTCACCCCGAGACCTCGTATTCCCATCGTTTTAGCATAGAAGCGCATACAACACTCTTTTTTTGCCTTTATCCCGTTCAAATGTGAGTTTATCGATTACCAGAGTGTTCTAAATTGTCGTAAAGTTGTCCTGACGATTTCGTTTCTCATATTAGAGCCTTCGATAATTGTATATTGATCGAAATATGAGAGCTCGACGCCATTTTGGATCTGGTCTGGGCTAAGTTAGAAAAGTTTTTCCAAAAATCCAAATTTTGAACGTATCAGGACAATTCTTACATGATCAGGAGTGACGTGTCAAAGTTTCGGACTGTTTGGTCTAATACCCTTAAAAAAAAGTGTTGTATTCGAATTGACTGATTTGAAGGGGGTTTCACTTCACCTTAGTGATGTTAAAAAAAAAGGTGTATTATAGAAATACGCACAGAAAGTTTCTTCATCGTCCGTTTGTCTCCTTCCGAAATGACGTAGAGAACGTTAACTCCTGCCAGCACTGGTTTCCCACCTTTTGGATCTTCGATAAAAGCTCCCACGGTAATACCTTGCTTGATAGCAAGACGCCAAAGTAGACGAAAATCCTCTAAGGCAACTGGATCATTGACTACATCTGAAATAACGTTACCAATGTTAAACATAATTTATTTTGAAACAAATCTTTGCACGCAAATTATTAAAAATTGATACACTACGTTTAAAAAAAGGACTCACTAAAACTTTTGCAAATTGTTTCATCTCTAGCAAAATTCTGACACATGTGGGAAATGACATCGTCGTATCTGTCTTTCGGCACATCTTGAATTGAAAATTTCAAGGGTTGGCCATTGTGGCTCTGTTTTTTACTTTCGATCACCTGCCAGACTTTTAGCGGTCCTGCTGGACGCTTCCATGATAAGGATAATTCCTCGGATGCGTTATTTGTCATCGCGTCTGTCAAGAAATGAGTAAAATGGTTATCAAGGATTATTACGTTCAATTGAATTCGTTGCGAGCATTCCTATTCCGCGGAATTGTAAATGGCACGCGAATTGAAATAATTATTACATACAGAGCTCGAGCAATCCGGTTTCTTTTTTCTTCGAAAAAATCGGACATGGATGCTTGTCATAAAATTACTACATTCTTCATTATTACGTTCAATTGAATTCGTTGCGAGCATTCCTATGCCGCGGAATTGTAAATGGCACGCGAATTGAAATAGTTATTATATAAAGAGCTCGAGCAATTCGGTTTCTTTTTTCTTTTAAAAAATCGGACATAGATGCTCGTCATAAAATTACTACATTCTTCATTATTACGTTCAATTGAATTCGTTGCGAGCATTCCTAGGCCGCGGAATTGTCAATGGCACGTGAATTGAAATAGTTATTATATAAAGAGCTCGAGCAATCCGGTTTCTTTTTTCTCCTAAAAAATCGGACATAGATGCTGGTCATAAAATTACTACATTCTTCATTATTATGTTCAATTGAATTCGTTGCGAGTATTCCTAGGTCGCGGAATTGTAAATGGCACGCGAATTGAAACAGTTATTATATAAAGAGCTCGAGCAATCCGGTTTCTTTTTTCTTTTAAAAAATCGGACATAGATGCTCGTCATAAAATTACTACATTCTAAACATATAATGAAATTCACCATAAATTATACAGACATATTCATTAATATGAATCGTATAGTCTGTTTTATATTAACACTGTTGTAATATTTTTCTCTCTCTATTTCTGGGTACATGACGATGACTGTACGTAGCGTGCACAGTTTACAGAAATTAATAAGTTCAGTGACTGGAAAGAGATATGAGATAACTTCCATGGACTTCTTAGATACGACCTTATCGAGCCGATTAAGTGGAACTCCGACGGGAAATTTGCATTTAAGTATAAATTGGTTCACTGAACATTCCATTTATAGTATCAGGAGTATGAAAATTGTGACTGTATAAGTATTTATATTTAACGTATGTCAAGGCGTGAGCCGCAGACAGAAAATCCTCAAGATATTATTAGTGAGATATAATATCGTTGGCTTGTTTCATTGCGGAAAAGCTTTCCTTGTTTGCCAAGGAAAGACCGATGAGGGGGTCAATTTATAAACTCAACTGAGCAAAGCGAGCTGTGGGGTCCAGAGATGAAGACCCCAACATAGCTGGCACGCGGAAACTAAAGCGATGCTACATTTTTAAACCGATAACACGACAAGTAGAAAATACACATACGCCAAAACTAAAGCGTGCCAAATCTTTAAATCATTGACACAATAAATAAAAAACAAACACACGCGAAAACTAAAGCGTACAAAATTCTTGTAATCATTCACCCGACAATACACATAACCGAACACATGTGCATCGATGCTACATTTTTAAACCGATAACACGACAAATAGAAAATAGACATATGCGAAAATTAAAACGTGCCAAATCTATAAATCTTTGACACGATAAATAAAAAACAAACACACGCAAAAACTAAAGCGAACTAAATGTTTTTAATCATTCATCCGACAAATATAAAATAGACTTATTAATCAAATAACCGTCACATAACTGAACACATGTGTATCGATGCTACATTTTTAAACCGATAACACTGCAAGTAGAAAATAGACATACGCGAAAACTAAAGCGTGCCAAATCTTTAAATCATTGACACAATAAATAAAAAACAAACACACGCGAAAACTAAAGCGTACAAAATTCTTTTAATCATTCACCCGACAATTAAAAAATAGACTTATTGATCAAATAACCGTCACATAACCGAACACATGTGCATCGATGCTACATTTTTAAACCGATAACACGACAAATAGAAAATAGACATATGCGAAAATTAAAACGTGCCAAATCTATAAATCTTTGACACGATAAATAAAAAACAAATACACGCAAAAACTAAAGCGAATTAAATTTTTTTAATTATTCACCCGACAAATAAAAAATAGACTTATTAATCAAATAACCGTCACATAACTGAACACATTTGCATCTTAAACGTTTGAATATAACTTATCTTACTATATTACGTAACCGAGGTAACCTAGTCTAGTTTGCTAAAACACATATCTTAGCCGACACAATATTATGAAAGTCACGTCGAAATGTTTATTCAGTATTCAAGCCATGTAATTGAGGATTTTCTAAAAATGATCATGAAAGTAATTAATTTTTTTCCTTTTTTGACTAATATTTGTTTAATATTTACACAATGTGTTTTTATCGGCTCGTTACACCAAAGCGGTTCCTCCACGAATGTCTTTTATATTTTTGGACATGCAACGTGTATAGTAGAGCGTTAAAGAGATGATGACCTACTGATCTACGAGCCGGGCAGAAGTCCTGCATTGACTAAACTGGTGGGGTTGCGCGCTTCTGTAATTGGTAGATATGGTTTTAACAAAGGCTTGGATATCACGTCACTGTATCAGTGTTGTATCTTTTCCCTGCTCAATACTCATTTATTCTGATTTTAAAGTGCACGGTAATCGGACTGACGTGTGTTTGTAAAGAACTATTCCTTATCAGATAAGACTTCTAAGATATTCAGATTCTTTCCTATGATTTGTTACAAAGTATCCCACAATAATCTTAAATTCTCTTAACGTAATTTGAAACACCCTTCTAGTTAGTCGATATGAATAAAACACTTTTTTTCAAGGGTATTGGAATGGATTGTCCGAAACTTTGACACATAACTCGTACGCAACTAAAAATTATCCTGATATTTTAAAAAATTTGGATTTTTGGGAAAAATTGTTTAACTTAGCCTTAAGGTGAAGTGAAACACGTCGAGTCACTTGATCGACGTCGATAAAGAAGATTTTCCTAAATGCCTACGTTGCCGACGTTCGTTTTTATATTGACAGCTGTGTAGAATTATATTGGATATTGTACCAAATGGCATACTCCACCTGTCGTTTTCGCGCAATAAATATCAAGAAATCGAAGTAAAATTCTAGAAATCCTCTGGATTTGTACTTTCTGGGACCTTAATTGACTGCAAGGGGACACCTTGCGCCATCTGTGATTTCCAGGTCAATTAAACTTTCACCCCGAGACCTCGTATTCCTATCGTTTTAGCATAGAAGCGCATACAACACTTTTTTTGCCTTTGTCCCATTCAAATGCGAGTTTATCGATTACCAGAGTGTTCTAAATTGTCGTAAAATTGTCCTGACCCTTTCGTTTCTCATATCAGAGCCTTCAATAATTGTATATTGTAGGAGGTGAAATTACCGAAGCGGAACTACTGTTAACGAGTCTATATTTTGTAGATTTACAGGTATATCAATTGACTTATTGTTCAAGAAGGAGACGTATATAAATTGGATTCAAGCGTTCCGTTCTGCGATCCTCGACCAAATGTCGGTCCGTCCACCATTCGCAGGAACCGTCTTGGTCTAGCCATATCAATTGTTTAGGCCATGCTCATATCTTCTAAACATGCTCGCCTTTCCTCGTCTATGATTCTGGGAATAGGCCATGGACCTCCGATCATTTTGCCTTGTCTCTTCGAAATATTTCCTTCAATATTGATGCCACTTTCACATCCCCTTAACGGCAAATGTCGGTAAGAGCGATATCGATACTTATCGGTAGGAATCGTCGGTAAGCTCTCGAAAGTTGTCGGTAGACTATCGAAAGCTAGTGGAGATTGGTGTTACGTTAAAAATAATTTTAATTATAGTAATTCCTATCTGCTGATTATTTCAGAACGGTTCCCTGGCGTTACCGTTCTTCAGTAAGAATAATATTTTTACGAAACGGAATGTAACACTTCTAATTTTTAAATTGTTAAAAAGTAATTTGTTTATAATGGTACATTTGTCTCTAACTTAAAATTAGGACAAAAAGGTATACATAATGAATTAAATGTCAATAATTTAATGTAAACGATGTAAATATTCAAAACATTAAAAATATTTAAATCAGTGTAGATAAGGTAAAAAAGATGACAACAGACTTTCTAAAACATTGAAAACACTTATTTCTTCACAAAACAACTATTCACCACAAGAAACATTTACCGTATAAGATTTATCGAAGTTAGTAGATTAACCACAGAACATAGATAGTTCTATCACGCATAATACATTACGTTTAAGGTACAAGATATTGAAAATATTCAATGAAGCAGTTTTCTGCAATAAAAGTCATTTGTTTTCAATACAATGTTAATATTTTTATAATATATAAGATTGTAGAGATACCCATATAAATAAATCTCTATTTTACTGTTTAGTTAACTTGATGGTTGAGAACGAATTGTTCTTTGTTATTGTACAATTAATGTTATCATTTTAATTATTTTGAATAGTTTGCCATTAACACAATTTTTAATAACTCCAGAATATTGTATTAAATCAAGAAGAGAAATTCTATATTAGAAATTTTTGCTTAAGAACACTAATAAAATTTTTTAAATGATTAGACCTCTTATCACTGATAAGCCATATTTTTTACTTTTCTTTATTTGGTAGGTTTTATTAAACGTTTAATGGTTTGAATTATATCCAACTTGATCTCTTCCTTTATTCTGCACTATGATACAAGTTTGAATCAGAGTATAAATGTAATTACAATACTGAACTAATTTCACGTGAGAGAGAAATCAGTTGCAAAGTTGTAATCGTCTGATGCGGTTTGTTCTATATTAAACCCCTTCAGTTGGTTGGCTAGATTTCCGGCTTCTTTCTCTGAAAAATGGAGAAAGAAAAATTCTGATGTAAAAATCTAATACTAGTACAAATAACTTTTTTAAGAATTGCATACCTCGTTTCGCGCGTTCCTTCTTTTCCTTTTTAAACTGAAGTTTATTCAGTTTATTTAATTTCTGATTTCCTTCAAGTTTGAACAAGGGTTCGTCTTTTTTCTTGTTTGGTTTATTCAAATTTTGCTTTGCCTTCGCTTCTTTCTTTCGAAGTTTCTGCTTCTTCTTTTTTTCAGCTATTTTGAATTCCTGATTTTAGAAAGATCTTTATTATAACTTTTATCCTATATATAAATTCTCGGATTCTTTAATACGGAAAATTTCGTTAAAAATGTATAATTACCCCTTCTTTCTTTGCATCAATTTCCATGATTGCCTCCACAGGACCTGCACTATCTATTACAACAGGACTGACGACAGTATCATTACCGTTTGCTGCAGTCTCCACTTCATCAAGCATTATCTTCTCTTCTGCAGCAAAACTATTTATGTCAAACTCTTTTGCCATTTGGCTAACGATTTCCGCCGATAACTGACATGACGCTTCTTCCGGTGGTACCGTGTAATACCTTCAATTTGATAAAATATTTGTTATGTATTCCTGTGCCACTGATATGTGAAATTATTAAAATGTACCTAATTTTTCCTGAATTCCAGTCAGCTAAAACTCCGCGAGCTGCAGCCAGAATGTCAGGAATTCCACCTTTCTTAAATTTTCCCATTCTTGCAGCTTTTTTGGCAAAAAATTCCTCTGGCGATGAAAAATCGTGCATATCGTAAAGCTCCATTATTTGCTCCTTCGAAATTCTTCTTAAAATTGCAGTTGCTGGAGTAAATGGATCCTTAAGAGTCTCTAATTTAACTGCATTCTTTAAAGCAATCGATTCATCGGTACTATTAGCTGCTGGATTTGCAAAGATAATTCCTGGTGAATCCAACAATTTTATTTTTGAATCCAATTGTACTGCCTGCATGGACTTTGTTATTCCTAAAATTATATAGTTTATTGGTAACATTCATTTAGTAGTATCCATGACAACTTCCAAGATATGAGATAAATACGAGACCTGGTGTGTTTCCCACATTACAAGCTTTACTTCTTTTCAAAGAGTTAATGACACTAGACTTGCCAACATTAGGAAGTCCAACTACACCCACACGAATGCTAGTTTTAACATTTCCACTATTTCTGCAATAGTTTCCTAGCAAAGAAAGTAATAATTCTGCACCAAAGCAAGTTCCACCCTGAATCATTTTTTCAGTCTTCTTTCCCAATTTTCTTCTACCTAATCGCTTGGACTGATCCTGTGTGGATGATTTGAATGCCACTGCTGGTAAACTGCCTCGTAAGTACTTTAACCATTGATCTAAATTTTCCCTGGGAACAAGATCTGCTTTATTTAAAACAAGGACTAGTCTTTTATTTCCTTGTGCAGCTTGAACTGCTTCTTCGACCTAAATATGAAAAAAAAATGAATAAAAATAGAAATAAAATATTTTCAATGCAGAATGTAATATTTGTACCTGCTTGCATCGAGTTCCCAAAGGATCGCGAGCATCTACCACTTCAAGAATTACATCAGCTGCATCCAATACTTTCTTAAACTCTTTATAATATGCTTTCAACGAACACTCTTCTTTTTGTACAAGTGTTTTTATGATATTCGAACTAGTATCAACTGCCATTGCTTCATGTTGGACTTGATTAGCTTCCGCCTTAGAAACAAGACCTTGCAAGCCATTAGCAAGCTCTTCGCGTTTCTTCTCACGAGCTGCCTCCCGCAGTTTTTCTTTTTCCTCATCCCTTTGCTTCTTCATTGCCTCAACTTCCTTTAATATGTCTTCTTTAAATGGGCATTGATTTGGAACCTGAATCGTCTTTGCCTTTTCTGTAGTAAAAAATGAAATCTATTACACAGAATAACTTTGGGACAATGCTGATAATGAAGCTTACTTTTTGGATGTTTCTTCGCTTCTTTTCGCAATTTCCTATTGTGTTCTCGAACCTTCTTTTCAATTTTATACCTCTTTCGAGCAGGCATTCGTTTACTCGGTTTTTCTAAAAAAAAAATACAAACTCATTAAACTTCATTTAGAAATACTTCATATTTTACCTAATAAAATATTATTTACTAATATCAGATACAACTTTAAATTGCTGAATACTGGTTATAATAATTTACTGAGAAACCACGTTATACTTACTTAGACAAAATTTGGCCATTGTGATTCTGTTAAATAATTGATTGCAATAAAAAAAGCGCTTCTTCTTTAATAAAATGACAGTTTCAAATCAATCACGTGTATATCTAGTAGAGTTAGGTTAGAAAAGATAAAATGATGAGTAACCACGAATTATAAAGATTAGAGAGATGCAAGAAGAAGCATTTGTCTGAAGAAAATTTCCATCGTGTTCCGTTATTCATTACCACACACTGCCTTATAGTCATTATACGAATGCATAGGAAATAAGTGATAATAAGCGTAATTTAACAAAGTAAATAAAATAATTATACGCTTTAATGTCCATTTCTTGTATGTATGTACACATCATACAAAACGTCAAGAATTTGTCTTTATTGAGTTACCAGGTAATACGAACATACCCGAGAGCACAAAAGAAAGTAGGGAAAGGAAGAACTATAACCTTTTGATTGGTTGATTAGATAAACATGCATTAAAACATGCACAGCACACAGCAATGCACGGGCCATGAATGTAGTATTAAGCATCCTGCATAATGCTCCAATTTGTAAATCACGCACAATGCGCATAGGTTTTGAATTTCTTTTTATTGGATTATTAATTGTAAGAAAAACATTTTGTACGGAACCATGCAAACCAAAAATTGGTACGTAATAATATATTATCATATCATTAATGCCAATTTAATCAAATTCGATTTTGGAAAACTTCTCCTTATAATTTATTTTAAAATTAATTATAAATAATTTCAATTTATCTTTTAATATTAGCAATAGTAGGAGCAGGGATTGGTGGTGCTTCAGCATCCCATTTTTTGACAGAATTATTCGTCAAACACTTGGAAATCGATATCTACGAAGTTGATAAGATTGGTGGTCGCCTTGCAACGATAGCAGTTGGGAAGAATGAATATGAAGCTGGAGGTTCCATAATTCATTCTCGAAATCGATACATGAATGATTTCCTACAGTTGCTTGGTTGGTATTACAGTCGCTATTATTTTATATTTATTTTTTTATTTAAATGTCAATATTACTAAATAATATATCTGTCATATCTATGAGTTATTATGATTTATAATGCTATACTTACAGGTATGGAACGTAGACCATTTATGGAGAACCAGAGATTCGGTATATGGAATGGTGACGCATTTGTCTTTGAAGAAAGTAACTCGGAGATTATAAGTCTCCTAAAATTATTTTACAGATATGGTTTCGATCCACTTCGTCTTCAGAGGTAACACGAAGTTAAAATATTGTGGGTTTAAAAAAAATAACATTTTATTTTCATTTTCAATAGGCATGTGAATAGTGTGTTAGAGAATTTTGAAAATATCTATGAGCTACAAGACCATGGAAAAGCCTTTGAAAATGTGACTGGATTAATGTTTGCCATAAATAAGGACTTTCCTGAAATGTTACAAGTCTCCACAAAACAATATCTCTTAAATTTAGGTTTTTCGTCAAAATTGATTGATGAACTAGTCGAAACAACCATTGTTGTTAATTATGGACAAAATACTGATATTCACGGTTTTGTTGGATGTGTTTCTGTAGCTGGTGCAGGAGCTAACCTTTGGGCAGTCAAAGGAGGAAATAAAGAAGTAAGTCCAGCATATAATGTTGAATTATTTAATTATTCCGTAAAATGAGAATGTTAAATATGTAATAAAGTAATTGGTTCTAGATTCCTGAACATCTTATCTATAGAAATGGGAAGATAAACTTAATACCTTCTCAAGTAAAGAAGATTCGCTGTATTTCACAGCAGAATGTATCAGTACAGTATGAAATTATTTATGGTAACAAATATATCTACAGTGGTGAATCCTGTTATTTACTTGTCAGTTCATAAAAAGATTAACAATAATCAATTTCAGGTAATGGTACATTGATGTCCAATTTTTATGATATTGTCATTATTGCAACTCCATTAACATATGATCAGAAATACCCAATTTCCTTTGAGGGTTTTCCAGAACAATTTAAGTTCAAAGGAGATTATCAAGTAACAATGGCAACTTTTGTTGAAGGAAATACAAATCCGCAGCACTTTGGCTTGGAAGAATCATTAGATGGCATATTAAGTTGTAATCCTAACAAAACAATAATTAACTCAATTAGTAGATTATTTCCTGTCCAAGGTTCTGCAGAGAACATATCAAGAGTGTGGAAAATTTTTAGTAAAGAAGTTTTGAAATCACATTTATTAAATGACATGTTTCTACAAGTAAGTTATTAAAATTAAATATCTCATATTTATTAACAAAAATAAGTCTATAGAATGTCAAATTGTTCTGCTTTTTAAGGTTAATCAAGTGAAAGAAGTCAGATGGAAAGCATACCCACGATACAGTACAAACATACGACATGATAAGTTTAAACTTCATGATTTTCTTTATCATGTTAATGCAATTGAATGGGTTGCAAGTGCTATGGAGATGAGTGCTATAGGTGGGAGGAATGTCGCCAATTTAGCATTTAACGACTACCGTAAAAAATGTTTGTTGTCAAAACAAAATGACTTTGATCGCAGTATACCTCAAACCACATGTTCGTCAGAGTTATGACATTCGTATTAACTTGTATATTCATTATTTTTAGTACAATCTATTATATATGTATCATACAAAATGAAGCTATTGACTTACAAGATATTGATGTATAAAACTAGGGATACTACGGTTTCCGTGGCGCTAAGGTTTGACATTTGATTATGATCGTGTTTGATATGAACAAACATCATTTCAGAAGAAAAGCTGATATCTCAATTAGTTTGGAAGATATTAATTATTTTCTTTGATATTAGATATTTTCGACTAAATCCTTTATATCTAAAAAACTATGCAAGATATGATAAACATGCATATCATCTTTCTTATAGGAAATCACATTTTCTATCGAAAATGTTAGATGAAATTTTATTTTATCTCGCACAGTATTCGAGATATTTAAAAAAATTAAAATATCTAAAATCAAAGAAAATAATGAATATCTCCCAAACTAATTGAAATATCCATTTTTTCTTTCAGATGATATTTGTTCATATAATACACAACCATAATCAAGTGTCAAACCTTGGCGCCACGGAAACCGTAATCTTGTTCAATAATCAGATTTTTCATGGAAATAAAGTCTGGACTTTAGAGCGTAAGTAAATGAAAAATCAAATAAAGGAGGAACCGTTTACAACATTTAGTAAAATGCCTTCTCGTTCTTTTTTTGTATTAGATTTTAAATTTATTGTATCTTCATTCTCGTTCTGGTATCCTTTGGTCTCTGATTTACTCCGGTTGGGCGGTCGAAGCAGTCCGATGACAGTTGAATTTTGGAGTTGTTTGTTTGTTTCGTGTGATGGCTTTCGGAATTTTGGAGTTGAATCGAATGAACTCGTGACTCGAAACGCGAGATATGATTGGTGATAGAAAAAATCGAATTTCGAGATTAGTTCGAGCGATGTCGACGGGCGGCAGGTCGAGCGTTATATTAGCGGCCTTCGCGCCGAACCTCGGTCACGAGAAGCGACGGGGAGAGTATTTTTGCTGAGCTGGGTTGTTGTTTACATCCCAGACACTGTTTATTCTGCGCCCCTCCCTGAAGCGCAAGTGAATTTTTGGACGAACGTGCGCGAAAAGCGCGCGTCACGAAGAAAAAGCCAAGTAGAGACAAAGGGAGCCCGAGGTGGAAGCGAAGCGTCGGTGTGGACAACCGGACAGAAACCGGTGATCGCGATGAAGGTGACTGTCACGACTCTCAGCGACGACATCTTCGTCCTGGACGTCAGCGAGGAATTGGAGCTGGAGAACTTTAAAGCTTTCTGTGAGATCGAGAGTGGTGTACCAGCCCATGAGATCGTGATCGCCTTTAACGGCAGGCCGTTAATGGACGATAAAAAATCACTCCGAGATCATGGGATTCGGGACGGCGATGTGGTTATATTACAGCACATGCACCAAAGTGGATCCGATCTTAACATGCATCCATTCAATGGAGGTCAGTATATGTATCATAGTAACGTTTAATACTACCTCGTCTCTTTTCATGATTCAGAAAATGACACTTGGATAGGTTAGGATAGGTTAGATCAGGTGCTCCGTTTAATATATGGGTCATATAAGACTTATCATGTTGAGGGGCAAAGGAAACTCGGATGAAGATGTAAATATTTGTTAACAACGAGGTGCTTTGTTTTAGCTGTACCCGTGTTGGACTTCAGTTCCATTAGGGTACCTGGTGTCTCGACGGGTCGACCTGCACCAGGTCCTAGCACTGGAACAACTGCTAGCGCGGCAGCTGCTCAAAGAATGCAAAATCCTAGAAACGAAGACAATCCAGCAATGATCAGGGATATGTTCATGGCCAACCCGGATCAATTGGCATTGCTTAAGCAAAATAATCCAAGGTTAGCGGATGCTTTACTCATGGGAAATCTTGGTGAGTAATTTTAAAACCCTCATGGGATGTTCAAAGAATTTTGTATGCATCTGGTCGACGAATTGTCGAATTTATATCACGCTTTCGCGTCTAGGAATTTATCGATTGTAGACAGGTTTGCGACTGTATTGAGGGAGCAAATTAAGGCTCGAGAGGAGCGGCAAGCTCAAAGATTGAGAATGATGAACGCGGATCCCTTTGATACCGAAGCTCAGAGACTGATTGCTGAAGAAATTCGACAGAAGAATATCGAGGCGAACATGGAAGCTGCCATGGAATATAATCCAGAGACTTTTGGAACCGTTGTCATGCTTTATATTAACTGTAAAGTTAATGGATTTCCTGTTAAAGCATTCATAGATTCAGGTATACATTAATGTATATATTTCATTGATATCAGCAACGCTCAGAATTGAACCATTTTGTGCTAAATTGATAAAGAAGCAACGACTGCATTCCTTACGTCTTACAAACTCTTTAGAAAATAAATAAATCTTCAAAGAACTATATTTTGGTACTTCTCTGCATGCACAAAGAAGTGCTATTTTTAAATGTAAATGGCTTGAGGGTCACTTAAGTGTGAGAGATGTTGGTACGGATGTACAGTTTATTTTTAGAAGCATCACGCGTGGAGGATTTGTTTTTTGTCACTTAAGTTTGGATTGTCGTTGAATTCTAGAATAAAATTCTTATGCTATTTAACAAATTTCTAGTGCATATATTGTATTTAATGTTACATTTTATAAATTAGGCGCACAAACGACAATTATGTCTGCGGCATGTGCCGAAAGGTGCCACATAATGCGACTGGTTGACTCAAGGTGGGCTGGAGTAGCAAAAGGCGTTGGTGTTCAGCGTATCATTGGTCGAATACACATGGTCCAAATACAAATTGGTAGCGATCATCTTACAACGTCCTTCAGCGTCTTGGAGGATCAGCCTATGGATATGCTATTAGGACTGGACATGCTTAAAAGACATCAATGTTGTATAGACCTAAAGAAGAACGTCCTAAAAATTGGTACTACAGGAACCGAGACGCCCTTTTTGGCAGAAGGTAAGCCATTCAATCATAGATTAAGCTTAAATTATAAAAAAATTTTATAATTTAAACGTATTTCAATGGCTTGTTCCCAGGTGACTTACCTGAATGTGCCAGGTTGAGTGGCAAAAGCGAAGAGTCTCTGGACGATCGAAATCTCCAACGAGCTCTTGAAGATAGTTCAAGAGATGCAAAGAAGCAAAGGCAGCAGCAGGGTAAGTATGTATCAGTCCGGGCTGTCCCAACTAGCCCGATCCATACCTATAAATCCAAACTCATAGAATTTTCCAGTATCAAAAGATTCCTCTCCATCCTGCCTGGACTGTTTTTGGTATAATATTCCTTTACTTTAAAGATTAATGAACGTAATGGATATAGATAAAATTCAATAAGTTTATTCATTTATAATTTACAATTTAATTTGCCAAAATTACGTTTTCTTTCTCTTTGTTTCCGGAAATATCTGTCGCAAGCAATTTTCAATTCAGTTAGGTTATAAAGTAGATGTATACAAATTGTCAATTTCTTGGTACAAAGTTAGCGAAATGTGAAATTTAGTGAGATTGTCAAATAACTGGAACAAGTTACAGTGCACTCATTTCTTAATTACAGACGGCCAAGGCGTAAATAGTCCACTGACCCCGACCGTTTCATCTAGTAGTACATCTACTGCCCTGGAAACTACCGTTCTCGCTCACGATCCATTTACGGAGGCTACGGTAAAAGAAATCGAAGCTCTAGGCTTTACACGAGCTCAAGTAATTTCTGAGCTTCGCAGATTCAATGGTGATAAGGCGCAAGCTACGGCTGCACTTTTTGCAAAGTCCTTGAAATTCTAAGTGATTCATATCGCTGGTCCTTGTGAGGAACGGTACAGGGAACTAAAGGAAATTGTTAATAAGAAACATAAAAAATCATGGGGTCACAGTCCATCAGGGTTTTGTTGACCCTTAATATTAATGCATTGCCATTAGTGATGTGTTCCGATCGGTAGTAAAATGTATGTAATTTAATTGCAACTGTAATCGAGCAGGAAATTTTAATTTCACTACTATTTTCGAAGTCTTCTATTTGTTAATAGGTGCCATCGCTCACTGCTAGATATATAATTTACATAATCGTTTGACATCTATTAACAAAAGAATACTAAACTATTCAAAGAATTCTTTACTTCCGTAACTGAATTGCAATTGTAATTGAAATGCATTTTTTTACGTCCTTCGTTGAAGTTAGACCGATGGTGGGATGTAAAATGGACCAGAAAAGGAATCACGTAATTTGTCATCTAGTATCTACTACGGGTCTCATTCGTCATGTGAGATGAAATGTAATGTTTCAAATCTGGTAGAGAGGCACGAGTCATTGGTGCCAGTTAATCAATGAGATGTCGGATTTACATCACCCGGGAATAAGATATATGCAAGCTGTCATGCTACGTTAAATTTGCCTGGCTGTATCCTGCATAATTTTTAATTACGTGGACTGAAAATCAATTTGGTGTATATTTGGGATGTCCGCATAACTAAATCATTAAACGATAATCAATGCACATTCATCGAGAACGATACTTAATCAGCAATGTTTTTCTCTCATGTTTCATCCAATTAGTTCGTTTCTATTCTTGGTTAACATTTATAATTATTTATATAACGTTTCAGTGCGGGACCAGCGTCTCGCACCTGTTACATATTGATAATAATTCCTTTGAACGGTGCTGCTGGTAATTCAATGCAAAATAAATGTTAAATATAAATGAAAAGCCGAATAAACAACATGAGAGTTAAATATTGTTGATTATCGTTCAGTTATTATTGCGATAATAAGAAAATTCTCCGTTCCGTTTGACAGAGAACAGAGATCTAATTTATCAGAGTTAAGATACGCAATAACGGCAAAATGAAAATCGTTTCATTTGCAATGAAAATATGACTCTTGGCGTGAATTTAGAAAATCTCGCGAGTGACTAGTTCCTTGCTCTTTATTTGCCCTTTATTTGGCACAAGACTTGCATTTTATATGTACATATTACAATGAAATGTCCCACTACTTCGAGGAGAATGCATTGCTTCTTTTGTACAATCGTTACAAGAGGCGCGTCTATGATTTTGTATGGGGTGTATCTATAATCAATTTATGAGTGACGTGTACTTTGTACCGTTAACGACCGCCTAGGGTATACAATTTATTGTATTTTCTTTATTATTGATAAAAATATGTGAACCACCACGTTTATCGGAGTTATTTGACTAACATCGTATCCCATGCTATTAGGTCAAGAATTTTTACCCATTTACTGATACCGAAACAATACGCTCATTCCCGAGAATGTTAAGGGTCGGTGTGACGGTTACGTAGGCTTTAAGAGAAGAAAATAAACTTTTCTATTTCTTGGAAGAAATCGGTCAGAATTGATAAACTGGAAGCTCTCCCTCGACCCATCTTAAGTCGACCATTTTGCCCGTCCTGGCAGATTCTTCGCAAGCCGCGGCTATTCTGCTCACGGCTAAGATTTCCTTAGGTAGCACGTGGGACGCGCATTTTCCCAAAACTACGTCTACGAAATGGTTCATTTCGTTCCGATACGCAAGTCGATACCGACTAGGGAAAGAGTACCAGATCGGAGCGGTGTTGAGGCCACTGAGGTCGCGTTGAGAAGTGACACAGTGAATGGGTTGCTCATTGGTAGCCATTATCATCCCTTTGGGACCAAAAACCTCCAGTCGCTGATCGTAACCGAAACTAGAATTGCGGGATAAATCGATCATACCCAAGGTACCGGAAGGAAAGTGAAGAGTTACGGCTACTGTGTCGTAATCGTTGATTTTCTTGATCTCTGGGATGTGTGCGTGAGCTTGAGTGCTCACCTGTTGGAAAAGAAACACATTTCGATAGGTATACGCTTAAGGTGAAGTGAAACACGTCGAGGAACTTGATCGACATCGATAAAGAGGATTTTTTTTAAATGCCTACGTTGCCGACGTTCGTTTTTATATTGACCGCTGTGTCGAATTATATTGGATATTGTACCAAATTGCATCCTCCACCTGTCGTTTTCGTACGATAAATATCAAGAAATCGAATTAAAACTTCAGAAATCCTCTGGATTCATGTTTTCTGGGGCCCTAATTGACTGCAGAGGGACCCCCTGCGCCATCTGTGATTTCCAGGTCAATTAAATTTTCACCGAGAAACCTCGTATTCCCATCGATTTAGCACAGAAGCGCATACAACACTTTTTTTGCCTTTATCCCGTTCAAATGCGAGTTCATCGATTACCAGAGTGTTCTAAGTTGTAAAATTGTCCCGATCAATATACAATTGTCGAAGGCTCTGATATCAGAAACTAAAGGGTCAGGATAATTTTACGACAATTTAGAACACTCTGGTAATCGATAAACTCGCATTTCAACGGGATAAAGGCAAAAAAAGTGTTGTATGCGCTTCTATGCCAAAACGATAGGAATACGAGGTTTTGGAGTGAAAATTTAATTGACCTGGAAATCACAGATGGCGCAGGGGGTCCCTCTGCGGTCAATTAGGTCCCCAGAAAGCACGAATCCAGAGGATTTCTAGAGTTTTACTTCGATTTCTTGATATTTATTGTACGAAAACGACAGGTGGAGTATGCCATTTGGTACAATATCCAATATAATTCGAGATGGTTGTCAATATAGAAACAAACGTCGGCAACGTAGGCATTTAGAAAAATCTTTATCGACGTCGATCAAGTTCTTCGACGTGTTTCACTTCACCTTAATACTTATCATTTTACTCTATACTCGGCATGATATTGTAGGAGGTAACATTGGCCAAAATTTTAATTCCGTTTCAGTTTCAGAGAAACATCATACAGCGAAGTTAATACGTACCCTGTCCGGATATTCCCCGAGGACCCATGTCATAACGTCGATGTCGTGCACCATGCAATCATTAAAAATACCTCCAGAACTTGCAAGATATTCGATCGAGGGCAACGGAGAATCTCTCGAAGTCAGCTTGATCGTTTGAATATGACCAATGTCTCCCTTCCGAACGCGTTCTCGTACAGACCCAAAACTGGGATCAAATCGCCTGTTGAAGGCGCAAAAAAGTGGTCTTCCAACTTTGTTCGCCGTTTCGTAACATTTCATTACGTTGTTGCGTTCTTGAGAAATAGGCTTTTCACAGAAGACAGCCTTCTTCGCTTGTAGAGCTCTCGTTACAATTTCCTCGTGGGAAAAGGTCGGCGTGGCTACTATCACTCCGTCGATACTGTAATCAGGAATAGATAATAAGCTAAGGGTGCTCTGTGTGGTAATAATTCTGATTGCATGGCATTCATTTGATTCTCCGTTTCAGTAATGGATCATTTCGTCGAATGATTTAAGGACGCGAATTTAAATGAAAGCACGTAAAATGATAGGAAATGTTATTGTTTTTCGTGGACACTCACTTGGGATCTGCCAAGACCCTGTCGATATCCTTCGGATGAAGACAGGTGACGTTGTCCAAGTGCCAATATTTCTTTATCTTGGAAACTTTATTTGAATCCTCCTCGACTAGATAGACTAGCTTTAATCGCGGGTTTTCAATTATCGATGCCAAATGGATGGTACCTGCTCGGCCCGCTCCAAAGAGAGCAACTCTCACCACCGTATCATTTGAACTGTCCGATTCCAGTTGAAGATCTTCTGAATATCTAGAGAGAATCAATCGATTAAAATCATTATTCATTTGGGTTTTGAGACATCGCCTGAGAATACTATTCTCGCGGACGACGAGCTATTAGACAATTTTGCAATACTACCCTGAGAAAAATCTCTTTGAATAGTGCTCATTTGGATAAAAAAAACAGCGTTTTGGTTTAAAGAGCATGTAGTTACCCCAAAGAAATATACGTTTTTCATTCGAAGAAATGATAATGTTCTGCGTCTTTCTTTAACACTAGGTTTACGGGACCCGTCAATTTGACGGAATTCAAACTTAAAAAAGAAATACCGAAAAAACCATAGCATTAATTTAAACCATTTTTGTATCGTAAATTAATCATTTCATTCAAAGAATTTGTACACACAATTATTTTTTCCTAAGCCTTCTAATTATTAAAATCTGTATGTAGTATACCTATCTCTACGAAACCCGTTAAATTGACGGACTAGCTAATTTCATAAACAATCCATATATATTTGCTTCGTTGCAGTGAGTGTAAGGCGAAGATGAGAGTGAAAGTTTGCATTGAAAGTGGAGAAATAGAAGGATCTTCGGATAGTGAAGAGGAAAACTTCTTGAAAGGGTGTCGTAGCAAGAAAAGGATGCGCATTCTTTCTAGTTCTGACTCCGAGGATGAGAGGACGAGCATTCCAATCATTTCCGTGATAATTTTTAAAAAAGGACTTTTTACTTATTAATCATTTATTTAAACGTAAAGCCTAGTGTTGTTTAACACAGACATAATTTGAATAAATCGATTTTTTAAAGAAAATGCGGGTTTTCGTTTACCCGTCAATTTGACGGGTGCTCGTAGAAACAGGTATATAAAAAACGCCCGTAAACCTAGTGTTAAAATCGCAACGTGTTTATTTGCAATAAATAACATGGTAGAATAATTTATTTGATCTATTGAAAGCAATGGTTTCTTAGGCATGGAATCATGGGGCATTGCACTGAGAAAAAAAAAGTCTTTCAATAAAAATAAGTGTTTCTTTCAAGGAAATTATTTCTTTAAATGGAGTTGAAGAAATGAAAAAGTTTGGATTTTTTAATTATTTTAAGATATGAAGTGATGGACCAATGCAATGCATTAGGCGGATAAACATTCGGCACTTTTGTATCGATGACTATATTTCTTTGATTTTATGCTACAGTTTCTGTAACTCTATTCAAAGAAATAATTTCCTTGAAAGAATACGATTTTATTCCCAGTGTAGTGGAATGAAAACAGAAGTTTTATTTATTATTAGGCCGTTTACTTACTTTTTGAAAAGGTAGTCTTCTTTAGGTGGTTGAGGCTTGGGTTTACGGTATGGAGATGTTTCTATAAATTTCACTGTTGCCATTTTCAGCAAAGTTAAGTAAAGTTTAACAGACTACGGACGAAGTGATAGAAAGGAAATGAAGCACTGAGTGTTTCATCTTTCATTTTATACGTGTAGGGCGAATCGTTATCATTAAGGCTTACGTGTAATGACGTTTGATTAGAATCGCCTGTGTAAAACTTAAGAGTTTTATTAATCTCGTATTTTGATTTGTGTGACATAACTTCGTGCCATCGTCTAAGATTATTTATGTTTATCTCTTCCTTATGTATGTATGATTTCGTCAAGACACAGTGACATCAAATGAGTCGGTACAGGACGATTGTATCGATCCAGGGTATTTTCAAGCTTTTGGGATAACTTTTAGATGATATGGCTAAATGATTTACAAGTCTTCAATGTGTAGTTGTACACTGGTACACATTTTTCTTGAGTGCAGGAAAGGTTATCGAGTCCGATAATTACGTACACTCACGTCATATACATGCAAAGATTTGTAGCTAACGTGTCGCAAATTGTTAGAATATTACTGTGTGGCGCGAGAAATATTTCCATAGAGTATGCTGCATGACTTTTCTATTTCACAGATATCGAGACAGTTAACAAAGATCAATATTGCATAAATGAACGGAGCTTAAAATATTCTTTGTCGTCGAGAATTTCCACTAGAAGCGCTTATTGCGATTCTACTTCTCTTTTATGCAAAACAAGTGAATTACTATTGTTGCAGAATTTCGAGTATTTTTTTGTTCAATACTGGAACTGCGTGCTGGCAAGATTCTTGGCGGGGTAGGAAAAGTCCCTTCCTTTGTATTATCCTAAAATTGAAAGAATTAAATTTTAACAACTTCTAGGGGTATATTTTGGGAAGTTTTTATTTTTTTACAATGAGACACCCGGATGGCAAGCCAAATTGGAAATAAATTTTTAGACATTACTTTTGGTATTCTAGGAAGAAGTAAGTGGTAATAATTTATTAAGTGCATATTCCGAAACGAATCCATTTTTAGATAAATACGTCCAGAGGAATTTTACAAAATGTATCGTAAGCCAATTTTTAAGGTGAAGTGAATCGCGTCGAGGAACTTGATCGACGTCGATAGAGAAGATTTTTCTAAATACCTACGTTGCCGACTTTCGTTTTTATATCGACAGCTGTGTCGAATTATATTCGGTATTGTACTCCAGCTGTCGTTTTCGTAAAATAAATATCAAGAAATCGAAGTAAAACTCCAGAAATCCTCTGGATTCATGCTTTCTGGGGCCCTAATTGACTGCAGAGGGACCCCCTGCGCCATCTGTGATTTCTAGGTCAATTCAATTTGCACTTCGAGACCTCGTATTCTCATTGTTTTAGCATAGAAGCGCATCCAACACTTTTTTTGCCTCTATCCCGTTGAAATGCGAGTTTATCGATTACCAGAGTGTTATAAATTGTCGTAAAATTGTCCTGACCCTTTCGTTTCTCATATTCAGAACCTTCGACAATTGTATATTGATCGAAGTATGAGAGCTCGATGCTACTTTGGTTCTGGTCTGGACTGAGTTAACAATTTTTTTCAAAAAATCCAAATTTTGAATGTGTCAAAACAATTCTTAGATGATCAGGCGTGACGTGCCAAAGTTTCGGACAGTTTGATCTAATACCCTTAAAAAAAAGTGTTGTATTCGAATCGACTGATTTGAAGGGGGATTCACTTCACCTTAAGAAAGCCTAACAAGCGATGGACTACTTAATCACTCCGCCGTTGCTTACAAAAGTGTATGAAAAGTAGCATTTACAGGTGTCTCATAGCTCGTCATTGATCTTACGAAGTGAATCAGGCGTGAAAACGACTTCTGGTGTGTCGCTTTCCACATATGCGGCTCGTTTCCGTCGGTCTCTTCCAGGATCAGCATCCACGAGAGCGATACTCGATTTCGCGGCCCTAGAAGAAATTCTTTTTTCATTTCACCACTCGACCTTATTTTCCATCGTTAATGACTGTGAATGTAGAACGGAGTCGAGAAACATGACAAATCCTTTTTCACGTGAAATCGACTTAAGCGCACGCACGGAGAGAGCTCGAAAGTACACCACGTGACTATAATTTTGTGCGTAATGGACTCACTTATTCTTCCTCCCATTGAAATCGGCCGTGACCGTGAGATCCCGTGGTCGTGAAAAATCACATTCTAGGGTGAAAGCGGCATCTCCTGGAGTTAAGAGTTCGTCATCGTGTTGGATGACGACGACGTTGCTATACTTGTTGCCTTCCTAAATAGAAAATCGTGTACATTCCGATTTTCTTCCACGAGATTAAAAAAATAGGCCTTAAATTCTCTCGCATTTCTAGCATTGCATCCTTATATAGAAATATTCGAACAAAATTCTCGACCTTGACAACATATGTGAGCCCATAATTATGAAAGTGGTCTAAGTAAAAATTAAAAAAAAATTAGTTTATCGGTTATTTCACCCCACATTTTAAACTAAATTAATTAAATGTAACTTTTAAGATATTGTCAAAAATGAACCATTAGATAGTGGTTGTAATTTCAACATTATATGGAATTCATTTTGTGTTAACCATGAGTGGTCTAAGTCAAAGATTTAAAGACATTATATAAACATTACCCTAAAATTGCACGTGGCCCTCTGACGTGTTTTTGAACTACACGATAAGTCGACAAATGATAATCAAACGATAACAGAAATGACAATACTTTCCGGTCCAGCTAACAATATATGGAATTCATTTAGTTCTATTTTGAAAGTGCATTAATTCAGTTGGGCTCTTCCGAACTAATTATTGGCGGAAAAATAATTGATATATTTTACCACTATGTCAACGGATAGCGGTTCAGGTAAGTTAATGACAACGTACTTATTATGTGAATATGTTAGTTATTATTCGGATATGATGTGATTTGCAGATATTATACGACCACGTAATACTTCTTTAGATGATTCTAAATTCCACGTTTTGGATTTTTCGCCTAAAAGGGGAAGGCCAAAAATATACGGAAATATTAAATTACTTCCATTATACTCCACCGCTAGACCAGTAACGGAAGAAAAACATAAAGATATTATGTGTTTACTACCATACATCCCTCCAGTTTTTCAGGAACATTTTAAGAATCTTAAAAACTTATAATGATAAAAGCCTAAAATGATTAAAATATCCATTTTTATCTTATACTTCACTTATCTTACTTCTTAAAAATAATGAATAAATGTTCATGAATTATTTCATTAAAATTATTGTTTCTAATAAAACTCGTCGTTTTTTTATTGCTTTAAGTCATATATACGACGTTCAGTTAATTTTGAAAATGGTCTAAGTCATTCACACTTTAAAAACATTTTCCTATGAAATTCACATAAAATTTCATATTCATAATAAATTTCCATTAATCAAGATTAATAAAATTCCAAATTAAAATGTTGCATAATATAAAAATATTTTTTAATTTATTCAAATGCAATTCATTAACTATCTTGAAACAAGAAATATATGACTTAGACCACTTTCATAATTATAGGCACATGTCAAGGTCAAGATCATTGAAGTTGGGTCCCCTAAACTCCAATTTTACCAAAAGTGGTATAAATCGTTATGAATCTATGTATCAAGCACCAGACAGATTTTAACACATGTACTCTGACGGACATGAATCCCTTCCGCTGCCAAGGTACGATGGAAAAGCACTTATGTCCACCAGTGTACACGGATTTGATAAAAATATGTATCGTCACCTGTTCTGTGGCACATTCACCCAAAGGAATGCTCATAGTAAAGCTTCTGCCTCGAACAGGGTCGAGGAAACAGGGTGGTTCTCTCGAATGGAAGCTGCCTTGTGTATAAATTACTCCAGAAAAATCGTCGACAGTTCTGAGTTCCACCGTCATTGTTTCCGCTCCGCAACGAAGTCCTACCCGGTCGTATCCTTCCGTGGAAGCTCCTATTTGCATTTCTTTCGAAAGATCCTGTTTCCAAATTTCTTCTGAAACGTCGAAGGAACAATTGAACTTTTAATATATTAAAATAAACCGTAACACAATGACATTATGACCGCGCTATTTCAGTTTCTTATTCACGCATCAATTAGTCGGGCGTCATATAGTAAGTTGTACTCAATTGAGTAACATATTAAGGTGAAGTGAAACACGTCGAGGAACTTGATCGACGTCGATAAAGATGATTTTTCTAAATGCCTACGTTGCCGACGTTCGTTTTTACATTTACAACTGTGTCGAATTATATTGGATATTGTACCAAATGGCATACTCCACCTGTCGTTTTCGTACAATAAATATCAAGAAATCGAAGTAAAACTCCAGAAATCCTCTGGATTCATGCTTTCTGGGGCCCTAATTGACTGCAGAGGACACCCTGCGCCATCTGTGATTTTCAGGTGAATTAAATTTGCATTCCGAGACCTCGTATTCTCATCGTTTTGGCATAGAAGCGCATACAACACTTTTTTTGCCTTTATCCCGTTCAAATGCGAGTTTATCGATTACCAGAGTGTTCTAAATTGTCGTAAAATTGTTCCGATCCTTTCAATTCTCATATCAGAGCCTTCGATAATTGTATATTGAACGAAATATGAGAGCTCGACGCCATTTTGTTTCTGGTCTGAGCTAAGTTAAAAAATTGTATCCAAAAATCTAAATTTTAAATGTGTCAGGACAATTCTTAGATGACCAGGAGTGATGTGTCAAAGTTTCGGACAGTTTGGTCCAATACCCTTAAAAAAAAGTGTTGTATTCGAATCGACTGATTTGAAGGGGGTCTCACTTCACCCTAATGCAATCAAACGTGAAGATAGATTTTTGTAATAGATTCAAAATGGATCGCATTACCTGCTAAAATCTCACTGAACATCGGGAGGGCGAGGAAGGACGTCAGCAGGACGGTGTCCATGGTGTAGAGTATCGGTCTATGACCGTCCGTGAACTGATGGACATATTCAAGTTCACCTGTTCAGAGATGCCTCCCACCTGGCACCGTTCCTCTTCGGTACTTTCACCTGGTGTCTTCGAGACGAGTCATAGATTCCTCTACCCGTTGCATATGCATGGTGCACCCAGTTCTCTCCTTTGTATAATTTTAAATTATTATTTTTCCTTTGAATATTCATACTTTTATCATTTTTAACGTAAAACCATTCGGACGTTATGACCTCTCGTTCGTACAATTGTAAATAATTATTCTTCGTGTGAATATTCATATTTTTTTTTTATCATCTTTAAGTCAAATAATTCAGAAGTTACGACATACTTATTTAAATACCACAGGCTTGTTTCGCGGCAGTAAAAATGAAATGGATAGCGGAGAGTAAATTCGAGGATTTAAATTGCAGGGTCGCCATGCTTTTTATTTATCATTCAATTCTTTGACTCACTGTTTAGCGTTTCGTTTTATTGTGATTTTATATTAGGGTGGAACTATTAAGTTCGGTTACATTTATGTACAACCTTATGTAACCTTACTTTTTACAAGTTACAACCTTATGTAACGAAAGACCGAAGGATGATTTTTATTTTGTCATCTCTTAAATTAAATTAAACAAGAGGATTATCGAGGTTGTTTTCGAAATCTCAGATACATTATGCGTCATATGGTTTATTACTCTATTTACATGCAAGTTTTGTACTCGTTCTTGTATTACGGATAATAGCTACATGCTTAGTGTATACATTCTAAATATTTTTAGTCACCAAAATTAAACGTGTTCGAAAGGCCATCTTTCATTTCAGTTCTTCCTCTTACATTTCAAATAATCCACCATCAATGGTTTGCTATTTGTCCTCAATTAATATTCGATTCCATTGTTCCGAATCCGTCGAGTCATTCCATGTTAACCATTCTTTTAGAATAAATTATCGACACACGTTTTCGTTAACTAATGCGGTTATCATGGCAGGAAAATTTATTCCCTTCGCCGGTAAGTTACCGACCGACAGAATGTGAATATACAAATTGGAAATAATCTACAGCCAACGAAATCGTTACCATTGGTTCCAACATCGTGCCGTATCCACTTTTACCCAGGCAGTCTTTCAGATTTTAAGAATCAGCCCACCAGTTTCATCTCGTGCCCGATCGCCTCTAAAGGTACGTCAAATACACACAAATACCAAAACTAGCGCTATTAGTCACGATAGGAAGAAAAATACGAGGTATTATTTAAGAACATTCAAGTTTATTGATGCAGGGGAAGGAGTGGAACTTGGACGTTACAGGGACCACGTAGAAAGCCGAGACTGGCCAACTTAAAAGAGGGAAAGACGCACAGAGCCAGACACGACACAGCCTAGGATTATTCCGTTTCCAGAGGGGAACCAAGTGGACTGAAACTCGTCTGACAACTTCAAGGCGACGCGGTTGGCAGCACTGTTTTCGTTCTTATCAGCGCCGGGGATATCGGGTCACTGATTACATTCCGTATAAATCGGTAAGTGAACCCTCGGAGGAGACGGTAAACCACCGGGTCGCACTCTCGTTCGTTTCCGAATTTATTTTCCTCGATTCGGTTTCTTGCTACAGGCCCGTCACTCCGTTACAAGATGGCAACCACCACAGTGGCTCGTCTTCTGTTCAGTCGCGCTCCACAAATCACACGAAATGTGCGCCAAGTCGGACCAACGATCAAATTCTACTCGAGTAAGTGCACATGCCGGTTCCATGCTTTCTCGATTCCTTTTTGCCCAAGTTCCAATCGATTGAATCCTCGTTGCCCTAAATCGCACGATAAATCGTCGCGATAACGGCGATCTGCTGGTTTTCTATTTCTTCTTGTTTACAAGTCGTTTAAAAGAGAGGGAAGAAGTTCTCGAGAAAAATATTCACGAACTCGGAGTCGGTCGCTAAGCCGGCCCGGAAGCCGATCTTCTTTACCGACCGAGGCGACGTTCTCTCCAAGCTGGAGATATTATATTAGTTCTGTGATTAGATTTGAATATCAACTCCGAATAATAACAGGAATGAACACTAATGTTAAATAATTCCTTCCTTATTAACTTAGAATCGCCAGATCACGTTGATCGTGCGATAAATACGTTTTCTTACGGTCATCGTTTTTTACGCGTTGCCTTCGATTGGCCTCTTGAAGTCGATAAAGTGGAGCACCTTTTTTTCATTTTTATAACGTGGAGGGCTGAACTTTATACCTATCTACTTAACTTCAAGATAAAATGCGTTATTCGCAAATCTATCGCCGACTCCTCGTGTCCTAATAACTTCTGCGGTGTATTAGTATTTTTCTTTTATTTTACTACTCATAGATGTTTCAACCTAATTAACTCAGTCATCGGAATTAAGTCAACATAAGAATTTTAAACCTTTAGAAAATTTGGATGGCATTTATTTTCCACGAAATCGTTCATTAAGTCGAGTATGTTGATTTCATTTATCTCTTACCTTACCTGGATGTACATAAATGATAATTAATGTCGCAACATTATTTTGTGTCATTCATATGTATATATGTTAACATCAGTGAATGAAATGTGAAATTGAAATTATGGACCCAACATGAAATTATCGTAACGTGTTGAATTATAGCGCTTATCAAATCAGTCGGCCCGGGCAATGGTATAACCGTTTCATCATTCCCGTTTATCGTATTTACGTTAAGGTGAAGTGAAACCCCCTTCAAATCAGTCGATTCGAATACAACACTTTTTTTTAAGGGTATTAGACTAAACTGTTCGAAAATTTGACATACCACTCCTTTAAGAATTGTCCTGACACATTCAAAATTTGGATTTTTTAACAAAATTGTTTAACTCAGGCCAGACCAGAACCAAAATGGCGTGGAGCTCTCATATTTCGATCAATATACAATTATCAAAGACTCTGATATGAGAATCGAAAGGGTCAGGACAATTTTACGACAATTTAGAACCCTCTGGTAATCGATAAACTCGCATTTGAACGGGATAAAGGCAAAAAAAGTGTTGTATGCGCTTCTATGCCAAAACGATGGGAATACGAGGTCTCGTCGTGAACATTTCATTGATCTGGAAATCACAGATGGCGCAGGGTGTCCCTCTGCAGTCAATTAGGGCCCCAGAAAGCATGAATCCATAGGATTTTTGCAGTTTTACTTCGATTTCTGTATAATTATTGTACGAAAACGACAGGTGGAGCATCCCATTTGGTATAATAGACAATATAATTCGACACAGCCGTCAATATAAAGACGAACGTCGGCAACGTAGGCATTTAAAAAAATGTTCTTTATCGACATCGATGAAGTTCCTCGACGTGTTTCACTTCGCCTTAATACCTTTCAATTTTAGAACCCCGCGTTCTCGGCCGTGGACCGATAAGTACAATGAAAATTTAAATAAGTATATTAAAATTTGTCCCCTTTGTACAATTGATTTACAAATAAGGATTGTGCTTCGTCCCTGAGACTCTTCTTTTCGGTTTAAGGTCAAGTCACGAATTACGAGTACATCAAGGTTGACACAGCCGGAGAAAAGAAGAACGTCGGGGTCATCACCTTGAACAGACCGAAAGCGCTGAACGCTCTTTGCGACAAGTTAATGACCGAAGTCAATGACGCGGTCAGACAATTCGAGACCGACGAGAACGTTGGCGCAGTTGTCATAACCGGAAGCGAAAAGGCCTTTGCCGCCGGTAAATAGTTGCTAATCGTTTTTAAGGCCAGTCATAAAACCGACCCTGACATCGGCTCGATTTTTCAGGGGCGGATATCAAGGAGATGCGCGACAACACCTACGCTCAGACAATCAAGGGCAATTTCTTGACTCATTGGAATGGCATTACCCTGGCAAAGAAACCGATTATTGCCGCAGTCAATGGTTATGCCGTAAGTTCACCAGACAGGGGAATCTCACTGATTTCTTCATTTCAGAGCAAAGTTTATTGATATATCTAAATGAGGGTTTTCTTCATTTGTAGCTGGGTGGAGGCTGCGAACTGGCTATGATGTGTGATATCATTTATGCCGGCGACAAAGCTAAGTTTGGCCAACCTGAAATAGCGATCGGTACTATTCCTGGTGCTGGTGGTACTCAACGATTGACTAGAGCGATCGGCAAGAGTAAAGCAATGGAGTTAGTACTTACTGGAAACCAATTAACTGCACAAGACGCTGAAAAAAGCGGTGAGTTTCTATTAGAAAATGTACGTAATCGTATGGTCTTGCTATCTCCTAATTTTTACTATATCTTTTTAAGATAATATGTCGTGCCATCTCCTAACTTTTACTATATTTCTTTTAAGGTTTGGTGAGTAAAGTTCTTCCGGCCGATCAGCTGGTCCCAGAGGCGATCAAGCTGGGAGAGAAGATTGCGTCTCACTCGCAGCTTATTGTCGCCATGGCAAAGGAATCAGTCAATACTGGTAATTAAAATAAGGTCTTATATAGATAAATTGTTTTGGAATGTTAAACAATAATATATTATCTACAGCTTTCGAGACGACGCTGCAGGAAGGTCTTCACTTCGAAAAAAGAATGTTCCATGGAACATTCGCTACGGTAAAACATTAGGATACATTTTTCACAATTTGAACTATTACTCTGTTTGCATTATGTTAAATCATAATTACACCCTTTCAGGAGGACCGTAAAGAAGGCATGAGTGCTTTCGTCGAGAAACGTCCACCAAATTTCAGGAATCAGTGAATACTAACACTTAAACGCCCACAAACGATCAACGGCGTCTTCCCAAGTAACACGATCTATTTTTTATACGAGAATTAATATCAGATATAGGCTTGTTTATCCTTTAGTAAATACGTTAAGAGAAAACTTTGCCCCCGTTTCTACCGACTATGTTATGTACCAACGGGGGCGAAGCACGATATTAAAAGACATACGTGATGGAAAGTTTTATTTTCACGCATTATTGGTTTTACATCCAAACGATTTCTAATATGATACACCTACAAGTAATACATTATAACGAGTACATTACATTAAAATTATTATATTACCGGCTGATCCGTCATAATAAGAGAAGTACGTCTACCACATATATTCTTAAGGACAAATACGTTCGCTAAGAGCGTCGCAAAGGGTGCCTAGAATTAGTGAGATGCAATTTAAAAGTAGGAACGATGCCATAGTCAATCCGATAGCACATAAAATCGATATTAAAAAAATACACCGGGTATCCTCGTGTCCGATGGCGAGGCCCTTCCTGCAGTATACTGCGGAACGTTTACGATCTTTCTAATGCTTCAAAAGTCTATCGGTATTTCCCTAAGGACGCTGAATTCGAACTCTCAGCCGCGATTACGTGATCGGGAATATTGGCATGATTCGCGGATTGGTCGTTATACATATACGTCATAAAGCACATTACACGTTAGAAATTTTCGCAAGTCCTTTAAACGCCGACTGGCTGTCGCAGTAGTCTGGATATTCAACGGGTATTAACCGAGCTCGTTTCAAAGATTTCCTGGAGTCCTTCGGTTGACCGTAGATTATCCTGTACCCGCTCGTATAAATATATGATGTGCGAGCGAAGCCGAGCCATAGTCCTCGACGCTTTTTAACGCGTTGACTAGCTAATACTAATGAAGTACGTAAAGATACGATTAAACGTAGAGACACGCTTATACACCACTACATACGAATAATTCTTGCTCGCCCACTCCTCTGCTCGGCCGTCTTCCCGAGCCTAGGGAAAAAGGATAAAACTAGCCACCGTTATGGACCGGCAGAGTTACGTGCTCGTTTCACAACATCAACCGTTGCAGCCGTACTGCCACCATTTTCGCTTAAATGTTAATTAAGTACGCGCAAACGAGTACGCCCAACGCGATGAGATTATGTATTATTACAATTATTATCATAGTGCGACCCCGGCGAACGTTTACTCTGAATCTTTCAAGCAGTTTCCGGAAATCACGCATACGAGGATTTCAGAGTACTCTTTAGGGATGTTCGATTCTCTTAGAAGAATCGATTCTTGAATCGATTCTGAATCGGATCATGAGGAATCGATTCTATTAAGGTGAAGTGAAACACATCGAGGAACTTGATCGACGTCGATAAAGAAGATTTTTCTAAATGTCTACGTTGTCGACGTTCGTTTTTATATTGACAGCTGTGTCAAATTATATTGAGTATTGTACCAAATGGCATACTCCACCTGTCGTTTTCATACAATAAATATCAAGAAATCGAAGTAAAACTCCAGAAATCCTCTGGACTCATGCTTTCTGGGGCCCTAATTGCCTGCAGAGGGACCCCCTGCGCCATCTGGGATTTCCAGGTCAATTAAATTTTTACTTCGAGACCTCGTATTCCCATCGTTTTAGCATAGAAGCGCATACAACCCTTTTTTTTTCCTTTATCCCGTTCAAATGCGAGTTTATGGATTACCAGAGTGTTCTAAATTGTCGTCAAATTGTCCTGATCCTTTCGTTTCTCATATTCAGAGCCTTCGATAATTGTATATTGATCGATGTATGAGAGTTCGACGCCATTTTGTTCCTGGTGTAGGCTAAGTTAAAAAATGTAGTCCAAAAATCCAAATTTTGAATGTGTCAGGACAATTCTTAGATGATCAGGAGCGATGTGTCAAAGTTTCGGACAGTTTGGTCTAATACCCTTAAAAAAAAGTGTTGTATTCGAATCGACTGATTTGAAGGGGGTTTCACTTCACCTTAAAAGTCGGAGTCCAAAGAATCGATTCAAAAAATCGGAAATTTTTTATATATAATTAACACAAATATAATTAATACATTTTTACGTGTCGAAAGCCATCCATGATAATGAAATGAATGTTGTATAAAAAAACTAAAGAATTATTAGCCGTTTATATAGCAATTATACGTCTTCTCTAGCTTTTCCTTTGGCCGATATTTCCGGCCGAGATGGTCGACGGAGTAAATGAGAGGTTCCGATTGGCTGTTGAAAGTCAGGTAGTCAGTTACGACGGAAGTGCGTCACGACGCTGAGTTTCAGTAGACAATCTTGTGGCGACAAACAGCAACCAACGAGCGAAGCGAATTTCTCCCGTCTACCGTTTCAGTAAAAAAGAATCGGCTTCTCGATTCTGAGGGTAAAGAATCGATTCTCAAGAAAATCGAATGCATGCATAGGAAAGAATCGATTCTAAACATCGATTCTTTCACCAAAAGAATCGATTTTTTAAAGAATCGAATCAGAATCGAACATCCCCAGTACTCATTTCTAATTCATTGTGGAGATATGGTCAAAACGTTCCGTGACGATATTCAAGATTCATTTAGGAAACTTGGCATATTTCTCAGCGGCTGAATTTTTCAAAATGTTTCGGAACGTTCCCTTCGACGTACGCATCCGGTCGTTGTACTTCATTCAATGTTTCAGGACTTTTCCGAATTTTATAGAAAACCTAAGAACGATTTTGAAGTATTCGGTAAATCGGTACCCCCGACAAGTTGCCGTCGTTTTTTTTTTTTTTCCTAGGAATCATCGAGGATGTTCCTGGATGTCTCGAGGAGCTCCTAAAAGAATCGGAGAAACTGTCTGTCAGGGGAGATTTAAGGAGTTTTCCAAACCGACGCGAAGAACCCTCGAAAAGTGTATACAAGGTCCGAAAGTAGGTGTGTAGCTGTTAGTTATAAAGTATTGTCACTCGGTGAGCAATCGCGTAACGGATATGTAGCGACTTGGTTCCTTTTTTTCCAAAATCTTTGATCCCTGCATCCCTGAATCGACCGCCGCTCTTACGGTCTGTCGGCGGCATCCAGATTTGGTCCACTTTAGAAAACTCCCTTTTGAAAGCTCCTTAAACCAGGTAAACGGAGATGTGACGGGGATTGCATCAGTTAGTCGTTTACGTATATCACAGTTGCAAGCTCTGCGCAGAACTACGATGGTCGAGTCGTAGGAAAGGAATTAATTAATCGTGGGCTTCGGGTCTCTCGCGATCTCGCCCCCGCGAGTTTACCGCTTGTTGCGGTTCTTCATGGTGAAGCGTCTCCAGAAGTTGCCACCCTTTTTCGAGGGAGTCGCCGTTGGGGTGTCGTAGGTGTAACTTGACTCGTCGTCGGTGTCCTGTGCACTGGGAGTTTCTCTCGTGGGAGATCCTCCGTGTCCGGAATCCCTATCGCCGTCGGTTCCTCCTTTTTCCATGCCTGAAAGTGAATTAATCCCAAAACTTCATTACTTCGCATATCTATCTTCCACGTGATGATGGATTGAGAAACGCGAAGAAACTGATAACACGTGGAGCATAGCATTGTACGACTGTGAAATAAGGTGGAAAAAGCAGATAGGAAGTTGATAGAAGCATTCGAAGTGTAACGCTATGGAAGGCATATTGAAGATTATTCTCAAAATTTCATTACTTCGCATATCTATCTTCCTTGTGATGATGGATTTAGAAACGCGAAGAAACTAATTACACGTGGAGCACAACATTGTATAACTGTGAAATAAGGTGGAAAAAACAGATAGGAAGTTGATAGAAGCATTCGAAGTGTAACGCTATGAAAACATATAGAAGATTGTTTTCAAAATTTCATTACTTCGCATATCTATCTTCCACGTGATGATGGACTTAGAAACGCGAAGAAACTAATTACACGTGGAGCACAGCATTGTGCGACTGTGATATAAGGTGGAAAAAGCTGATAGGAAGTCGATAGAAGCATTCAAAATGTAACGCTATGGAATCATATTGAAAATATCATGGGGAGACAAGGCTAGAAGTGAAAAGTTATTAACTCATTGAGGCACGATTTGAGGCATATAAAGCTAAACAAAAGTTGGGACAGTTACAGTACCCACCAAACCCGAAAGAGTTAAGGGGATGTGAAAATGGCATCCGAGAAGTCAATCGTTTATGAAACTTTTCTACTAACTGGATGTACCGAATCGTTTCAAACGTTCTAACATGAACATAGAGGCTACATGAAAGGTCCTGACCCTCATGAATTTAATTTTTTACACAACATTTTGAAATTATCTATAAACTAATTTAAAAAAAAATGAAAATGTATGGGTGTCAGGATCTTCTTTATAGCCCCTTTATTCACATTGTTAACTTTGAGACGATTCGGTACACTCTGTTCGGAGAAAAGTTTCATAAATCAGACCTCTTTGACGCCACTTTCACATCACCTCAAGAAGGATTGGGGTAGAATGAAATGCATAGGAAATAATAAAGAGTAGGAGTGACAGGATGATCGGGCATCTCCCGAAACACGAGAACTTGATCCGAGGCATACTAGACGTTGAGGTAGGAATAAAGAAAAGTAGAGGTAAATCTAGACGAGACTAGCTAGATTAGCCAGATTATTGCTCGCAAATAGAGATGAAGGCTGTAGGACACTTACAGAAATGCGAAGGGTAATTCAGGATAGGAAACCCGAGTCGAAACGATCTATCTTAAAATTAGTTGAGCCTCTAAATCTTTTATTCGCTGGCTAATTTACCGACAGAAATTTCAGTTTCATTAAGTTCACTAAGAACCTTAGAGACATTTTTCTTATTAGAACCTCGTAGTCTTCGTAGCGATTCAATTGGATTGAAGCTTGACAAATTTCAGAATAGAATTAATGGTTATTCCATTTTATCCAAAGACCCGGAAATCTTCAACTACCACTCGTTGGCGAAAGACGAAGTAAAACTAATTGGGAATTATACTAGAAATGAGTGTCTTGCATTATTGCCCGCATCAAAAGTAGAATCTTGAATGTGCAAACTTTAATATTACTATTTATGTTAAGAATTTATATAAAACTCTATCCTTAAGGAGGTGATAGGGAGCATCTCGAGGACGAGGTTCGATTGAAAATTGAGGTTTCCGAGGTTTAACTGGATCTAATGTCCATTTACACCTCGACTTTACAAAAACGGACAAAAGTGTATATTGAAGGTTGAAATGAGACAGATTTCATTAACATCTTCCTATCTTAAATACTCATATTATTCTTTAAATTCTTACGTGCATTCAAGAGACATACGAGGCAAAAACTTTCGACTCGGAAAGGATGGAGGTGCGTGTCCAACTATAAGTACTGTTAATAATATTTCGATATTTCGGGTACAAATATATACACCGAGAAAAAAAAGTTCACTGAACCAAAGAAATATTCTGTTAATTTAAATAATAATTATTTGACCGAGATAAAATTGTCATAATTCCGATGAAATGTTGAATTCAATTCATTCGACTTTATGTCAGTCAAATAATTTTTCTTTTAATTAACAGAATCTTTGGTACTATTCAAAGAAATATTTCTTCGATTCAATAGCAATATTTTCTCAGGGTACTACAATCAGAAATAGCGGAACTCGAAATGAGAACCGGACAAATGTTTACTACTTTTCGTGGAACACCATTATTACGCGAGAATTCCTACAAAAGTATTCAGAATGTTGAACAATACCGCAATATGAGAAAACAAGTAAGCACAAATTAATGTACTATAACGTGTTTTTCTCAAAATGCACCCTTACGAATCTGTACGCGATCGCCAATCACTATACAAAAGGATCCGAGTTTCGTCCGCATGTCTTATATGACAACTGCACACTTCCCTAGTAGCATAGAGTAATTTCAAAATATTTCTTTATAAACTTTGCTAAATATATCAAGCGACAGATTTTTTAAGATTTCTTGTAGATTTCATTCGAAGATATTTTAAATATTTGTTGAAAATCTCGATGACATATTTAGTTTCAATAATTTATAAACATATACAGAAATTATATTTTTTAACTTATTAACATTATAAAAATACATTTTTTACTTCACGACTATCATCGGACATTTCATTTGGTATCAAAAAACACGAGAGATTTTTCTAATATTTTCATTCCGCTATTTCATTACGGGAGCAAAACGTGTGAATTTGATTTTAAATATTTTTAAAACGTTTATAATCTATTCGGAAGATAATATTTAAAAAATACTTGTATTAAAATGAAACGAAATGTTTTGCATATCTAGTAGAAAAATATTGCGAAAACACACGGAGGTAGTATTACATAAATATTATAGAGATAATATTCTGCAGTAAACGTTTGGCAAATATTTCAAATGTTTGCTAAATATTTACAAAATGTACGATATTCGTTAAATATATAGAAAATATAGGATAAATATTTTGTGCTACTAGGGTTGTATATATACCTTCTTGCTTATGAATTCTACCAGATGTGATAAAAAATGAGTAGATAAGGGATTTACAAATTTAACATACATGCCCTCGGAAATTCGTATACTAAAATCTCGAACACAATTGTACACGAAATTTCGAAAAATTCTGTTTTGAAATCACTGCGACTACATGTATTTTATACTTCGAATAGATATTTTTAACAGTGCGGTCGTCGGACTGAGAACTTTTCTATGGCGATCCTTTACCTTTTTAAAAATAATTAATTGTTTTCGGAAACTTACCGCCGCCTCCACGAAGCATGTCAAGGAAAGTGTTCTCCGCGTTACCCCTCGTGCGGCCCTGTTTTTGCGACGGCATTCCAAAACTGAGACTCTGAACATTAATTTCCGCTTTCAGCTGTTCGGGGGGAATGTCGTCGACCCGGAACTCGTTGGGATCTTCGACAAAGGCTTGCTGCAAGTCGCGCATTATCTTCTTCCGAATGGTCTTCTTCATCGAAAGATGCCGTTCGAGGTGCTTAACGTCGCTTTCGGTCAAAGTTTTGCTGTTATCCCTGCGACGAGACTTCTTCTTCTTGCTGTTCTTAGGGCTCTCTTCCTCGCCGGAAGTGGAGCCTACGGAAATGGCGCTGTCGTGGCCAGGAGCCTTCTCTTCCGGTTGATTCTTCGCGTTCTCCCATTTATTTCCGAATCCGAAAATGTCCCGAAGGTGAGGAATGTTACGATCGGTCGTCTGTTGTCTGGCCATTGTGAATTCCCTTCAATACCCTTCAAAGTAGGAAGATTTACCTCAAGAGTCTCTGCGAGCGATCTGCAAAATAGTTAAGAGAAACTAATTATTACCTAGTTCCTTTTAGTTTACATTAACCTAGTTTAACAAATCTCTCCTCCTCAAGGGGGTAAAAAATAACCACTGATGACATATTAAATGCAGATATAAAAAAACCAACGTAATCACTATTTCATTTTAACCGGTCTGTCCACAAAGTATCGTGACATCGATCGAAAGGAATAATTTTTCGATTTGCAAGGATAAGTTTCGATATCCGAACAAATTGCGAAACGTTCTCTGTGTCAAAATCCACCCACTCAAGGAATGAAAGTACATTTAAATCACGCGTAACTTATTTTTCTCTTTGAGATTTTATCGGGCCAGCTCTTTCGGAGGATGTGGAAGGTTAACGTGGCGCAATCTAACGCGGGAGACAATACGTCCTATGAATAAAATCCGCGAAATTATAATAATACGAAGTGACCGAGTTACGGAAGGACGTCGTGGCCTCGTTGGGTTTAACCAGAATTCGCTCATGGTTGTTTAACTCAAGAGTGAGTTAATTTCAGAATACGTTTGTAGGCCAAAGACCGTGCCATAGAGCTCTATGGAATCGTTTCTCTGCCTGCCCTCCTTTGTAATTTATATCCTTGATCCGATGATACCAAGGAAAAGGATCGTCGAGACCGGGTGTTGTATGCAGATGTCCGATGCGAACGGCAAATCTAGATCCAGACTAACTGCGAATGAAATTGAAACCGTAGAGGATCTATTTGACGGTATTCTCAAGCGCCTTTGTATTCATTAAATCGAGGAAGAATTATAATATCTATTATTATTCCAAAAAAACATATAATTTCCCCCGGAAAGCTTGTTTATATTGAACTGTAAATGACTGGACTAGCAATTACTGTCGTGGTTATATTTTTATCTTAAAAGTTCAATAAATTTTACACCCGCTCGTTCATTAACCGTCGCAGTAAATTCGCAATCAGTCCGGTGAGTGCGATCAAATTTGCTCACTTAGTTTTACGATTCGATAACAGAGTCGTGAGTTGTATAAGAAATGTAATGTACAGGAATCGTCTTTTTTGTATTTCTATTATAGATAGAGATTGAGTAACCAGCGCCGCATTGTAGATAAGAAATGCACCTAAATTTAAACATAACCATTGAGGAGAAAATCGACGGTAAACGTCTGTCGTTAAAATAGGATCGTCGATCCAGAGAAAGTCCATCGGTGGCAAGAAAGTACAAGCGAACCGGTCATTTATCAAACGTCAACTCCGTTTAGGAATGCTCGCTATAATCGTGACGTGGAAACGCGAGAAGCTATTAGAGTGCTTCCGACTACTATTAGCGGTGGTCTTTCGCCCAGAAAGTGGAAAAGAGAACTCGGGAAAACATGAAGATAAGTCGAAGGAGCACACCAAACCGAGCTCACTTTTTGCAGTACCAATCCCGGCAACCGCTGGTAGTTGCAGAAAAAGGAATCCCTATCAAACGGAACGAAGGAAAATAATTTTAAAATTGTAATTGTCAAAAAAACCCTTTAACGGAAGCCCAATTTTGTAAACATACTTGAATTACCTCCCAATAGCCCATGAAAGCTGGAGAGTTCAATGCCCGATCGAATCAGCTGACGATCTTAGTTCGCGCGATCGCCACGGGGAATCCTGCGGCGCTCCAATCGCGCTTTCTCGACGTATTCATAGAAAATAAATCATTTCTTCAAGAGCTCGAAAATGTATTTACTTAAAAATGTACCACTTGGCAGACAAATTCATGAACAATTGGTTGATAAATTGATCGTGTAATATGCATGGGCGCTGTCACAGTTTATTCAATTGAACTTTATGTAAAGATGAAATCGGTCAAAAATGACTCCAACCAGGGTGGCAACCAGTACCCACGTCATTAGTTGCTCTCGATAACTTGGTTAATCCGGGTTTTTATTGTTGATAGCCTCGATCTCTCTTTCTCCAGGCCAGTTAGTTGCTCTCGATTCTCCTCGGTCACTGCCGACCTATCGGAGCCCTCGTACGATGGCGAGAACGAGGCTCGTAATTCGATCGTTTCGAGTGGTGAGATTCAATTACGAGTTGACTGGGCGAGAAAGACAGCGGGCTCCGTTTCTCTTTCCCTCCGTCGATGTCTAGACTGATAACTCAGAATCGCGCCTACGTTCTCCGCTTACTTCCCATCTTTGTGGCGCGAAGCTACTTTATTTCCATCCTAGGTTTTTTCTCACGACGACGGCCCACGAACGAGGCAAGACCGAGCTCCAGCTCTTGGTCTGCATTCTATTAATACGATGGCGTGGGCACAGAAACTCTCGACTTTTCCCATTTATAAGGGCCCCGTGTGCGTTCGAACGCACCAACACTCACGCTTCGCTCTCCGCGGAGAGGTGACACCTAATCGACTCGACACCGCATTCATTCATTCGTTAATTAATTCATCGAGGGCACAGCCATCAATAACGCTCTCGTTAAAGCGCACTTACCGCGAATCTTGAAAACAAGCAACGGAATCGGGTAATTGACCGATCGCGCCGGTATATCAAACGGAAGGATCCAGAGGCCTCTTCCAGAGTCTATGTAAATGCAATTTCTCTCCTTAACGATGCATAATACGATAAAATAGCCCTGGGAAACTTTGTTCCGGCTATAATTTCAAGCAACTTTTCTAGACGCTACTTCTCCGTATCGCGCATCGCCGAGGCAGGAAATTGAATCGATGTAGCGGCGACATTTTAATCCGACTCGTGGGTTTACGCGGGAGCGATCTGGGGTAATCAGCGATTATGTAAAGGAGTGGAACAATATCCAGCTACGTGTTTAAAGTTTCCTCCGAGAGATTTACCGAGGGAGAAAATAAGAGGACGTATTCAGACCTTCAAATAAAATGACGACTTTGAGCGAGCGAATCCTGGGAAGGCGTCCTTTATTTTCCCGGCGTCCGCCGCGCGCTTAAACGAAACCTAGGAAACTCGGGAGAAATCAAGCTGGCCTGGAAATAACTGCTGTACATCGGCCGAGCTTGTTGCTGCATGGAAAGCTGTAAATTTATGTAATCTGAAACCGATAAGATGCGCGACAGCCAACCCCGAGGCTCCCAGGACGAGCTTTAATCGAGCTTAAACCGATCCTCTCGGGTCTCGTGCTCGTTGGCGTCTTCGATCCGTGAAAGCTGGTCCAATCACCGGGGAAATGATCTAGTTTGCCGTTAAGTGACTTATAAATAACCAGCCAGCCAATTTCTGAAGCTTCGGACGGGTATTGGAAAATTGGATCGAAGAGGAATCGCTCCGAGCTATTCGCCGGCATTCTTGCGCTCGCGTCGCTCTATATGTCGAACTATATAACGGTGGCGCAATGTCAGTGTTACAACATTTCATGGATTTTGCCATACAAGTCGACCCTCGGACGAGGAATCCATTTTCATTGCTAATTTTACGGGTTTTTACAACTTTGCTTCCGCGTCTGCGCTCCTTCCTTGATTCTTTCGACACTTCGCAATCACGACGGGAAAAACTTCTCCTGAGGTCAATCGACGCAATTTATATTTATGTAGCAGTAAAAAACTCAAAACAATCTATCCAAGTAACCTCGAGAACGTTATCTATACGAAGGTTGTAAATTAAATGAATTATTAAAGCATGATCAAAGGATAAGCCGTGTTTGGCAAACAAAGTGATAAGAATTATAGGTCATAAAGAATATATTATTATGCGCCCTTATTTGTTCACCTTTCGAGTGCGCAAAGAAACATTGAAATCTAATTTTTTTTTTTACATGTAACTAATCGTAGATTGGACTGGAAATTTCTACATGACGGGGTAATTGTATTTCAGGCAAAAAGTTTACTTTCAAATTGGTCTCTTGAATGCACGAGAGGATTTGAACCATTATACGAGGATTTAAGATAGTTTTCCTTTTCACTTCTGACCCTAGGAGTAGATTTTTATATAATTTATGATAATGAATTCTAAGGTTATAATTTCCATAATTACGATTTTACTTATATGAGTGCAATAATGCAACCAACTCATATTTCTAATATATTTCCCAATTAGTTTTTCCTTAATGATGCTTTGAAAGTATTAATCTCAAATTTGTACAAAATGGAATTCTATATTGAGATTTTCCAAGCTTCAGTTCAATTCAAACGTTACGAGATTCTAATGAAAATAAATGAACTCCGAGATTCACAGTGAATGAAATGAGACTGAAATTTCTGTCGGCAAACTAAATGATAAAAATAAAGGATTTAGAAATTTAATTGAAAGTGATAATTCTTACTCGGGTAGTTCCAATTCTGGCAAGTTTTAAGGTGACACGAAAGTGACGTCCAAGGGGATTAGTTTATGAAACTTTTCTCCAAACTGGGTGCATCGAATCGTTTTAAATTTTGGCACGTGAATGTGGAGGTCCTAAGGAAGGTCGGCACATCCATGAAATTGAATTTTTTTTTTACATTTGTTTATAAACATTTTCTTATTTTGTATACAAAATGAAATTTCACGAAGGTGACAGAACCTTCCTCAAGGCCTCCATATTCAATTAGATACACCCAGTTTGAAGAAATGTTTCATAAACGATTAACCCCTCGGTTGCCACTTTTATATCACCTTAAGGTGAAGTGAAACACGTCCAGGAACTTGATCGACGAAGATCGAAGAAGATTTTTCTAAATGCCTACGTTGCCGACGTTCGTTTTTATATTGACAGCTGTGTCAATTTATATTGGATATTGTACCAAATTGCATCCTCCACCTGTCGTTTTCGTACGATAAATATCAAGAAATCGAAGTAAAACGCCAGAAATCCTCTGGATTCGTGCTTACTGAGGCCCTAATTGACTGCAGAGGGACCCCCCCTGCGCCATCTGTGATTTCCAGGTCAATTAAATTTTCACTCCGAGCCCTCGTATTCCCATCGTTTTGGCATAGAATCGCATCCAACACTTTTTTTGCCTTTATCCCGTTGAAATGCGAGTTTATCGATTACCAGAGTGTTCTAAATTGTCGTAAAATTGTCCCGACCCTTTCGTTTCTCATATCAGAGCCTTCGATAATTGTATATTGATCGAAATATGAGAGCTCGACGCCATTTTGTTTCTGGTCTGGGCTAATTTAAAAAATTTTGTCCAAAAATCCAAATTTTGAATGTGTCAGGACAATTCTTAGATGATCAGGAGTGATGTGTCAAGGTTTCGGACAGTTTGGTCTAATACCCTTAAAAAAAAGTGTTGTATTCGAATCGACTGATTTGAAGGGAGTTTCACATCACATTCAGTTGCAAATTGCATCGAAAATCCTGCATGGCAAAGTAACTATAATTCCGATGGTACACGTAATTCCAGTGGGGCAAATATACGCAATTCGAAGCACGACCATTCCCAAGTGAACCAATTATGTCCATGCCGAAACAACTTACAAACGAAGCAATTATACGTTGGATATCTCGAAAGACCGACTCGACGAGGAATATTGATACCGCATAAAAAAATCTAGTAAATCGAAACGCTTTGCTCGCGTAAATGTCGAGTGGGCGAACATCGTGTCACGTCTGACAGAATACTCGATTTATGGAGTAAGTTAGTCACAAGGATACGCAATGGCCAGAGTGTATCATTGGCCCTATTATCTCACGTCCATAAAGATGCAAATTAGCCGTCGATGTACGTCACGTGCGTCATTGAATCGTGTTTTCGTACCGCGGCAAGATGTGTCAATGCTTTTTTCCACTCATTACCCGAGGACAAGTAAGGTGTCAAGAGTACGCATTGTTTTCTCCGAGTTGGAGCTGGTAATCATTCGTCGAGGAATACTGGTTCCGATTATGCCAATTGAGGGAACGTGATGTAACCGAGATGATCGAAAACAAATGTAAGATTAAAAATCCTTGGAAAGAACACTGGCTCGTTACTTCGGAGTTCCGCCTTTTGGACTTGTTAATTTTTTTATATCCTGGGTTAATAAATTGCTGGTGAGCAAAGTGCAAACACCGAACGTCACAGCAAAAACAACCTTGCCAAACCGTAAGTTGCCGCCAGGCAATATAAATAAAAAATGAACGAAAAAAGTGACTATAAGAACACAGAATATCTACATACACTTTCATAGTACGAGTATTCTGAACAATGTTATAATTTCATTTTTCGACAATTCAATCGATTAACAATTTCTTTTTAGATTCACAACTATACACAGAAAAAATACATTTACCCTCTTAGCACAATACAACATTGTTGACAAAGCTTTGCTCTTATTACAGGAATAATCGCACAAACAGCAAAAATGTTTGCAATTATATCAAACGTAGATGTAACCATAGGAGAACTTTCTTTGGAAAAAAATGCTTGCTAAATTAGAAAATAAACTTGCAGACCAAAAAGATATTGTTGATTCTACTTTATCAAATGAACGAAATACAGTTTGTTGTCGCTGGGAAAGAATATTGCAAGAAAGAATATAATTTGTGTTGCCACGGTCTCTTTTGTTGTTCATGGAGTCAAAATATTTCTGCAAAAAAATTTCGCTAGTCCATTTTCAAATGTTTGCATTTGCTAAAGCAAGTAAAATTTTGAATTATGACTATGATTTACTTTTCTGCATATGTATAGGGTAAAGTACGGATAGACGCCTACGTTTTCAACGTATACTTCTAAAGTCGTTATTTGCTTTCGTTTCCAAACAATTTCATGTTCATATCATACCGCAGTATTTTACCTTCATTATATTCTTCAATTATTTGCCTAATATCAATAGTTGTTATAATAGAACAAAAATATTAAAGGTCTCGATTTGAGCATCTACCCCCCTCGGGGGGGATAGATGCCCTAAGGGAGAATAAATGAAATCATTATGAATTTGTTTGAAAAATCATATTTTTAATCTTAGCAAAGTTAACAAAAACAATTTTCAAATTATTTAAAAACTTATATAAATTATAATAAATAACAAAAATAGTTTTTAATAGTTAACGTAGGTATAAACGTCCCTCAATTTACGCGAAATATCTGTTCCATGTAGATTCGTTTCACGCGGAAAAAATCGCATAAGTAAAGCCTGTCAGGACAAAAGAAAAAATATTGGAGATAAAAGTTAGTACATATAAGTTTTAGAAATACATATTTATTCATATATATATATAAGGAAACATGGCATCTATCTTGTCGAGGCATCTATCCGTACTTTACCCTACACTGTAAAAAAAATTCATAAAATTTATACACTTTNATATTATAAAATTCACACCATTTTTTAAACAGTGTACAGGTAGTTCCTATCTTTACAAATGAATTGGCTTTTGACGGTCATTCGTAAATCGCGAATTCGTAATGTTTGTATATTTAAACGAAAAATTCCAACGATAAAGATCCGTAAACGAGAAAATACGTAAAGGCAGGAATTCACGAAGTGAGAACCGTCCGTACGTGATGACGTGAAAGAAGTCCCGTCTTGCGGCGAAACATTGCTTAGGTCAGCGAAAAATACGGTAACCAGGAAAACCGAAAGGAGGCCCATTGTTGGCAAAGGATACTTTCTTTTTTACCGCTTTTGTCCCCGCCCGTAGGCCTTTTTTCTACTTTTAATAAGGAAAATATCCTCGTCGAGGAAGGCAGGATACCCGGATAAACGAACGTTCCCGGATAAAGGACACGCGAGCGAATCGCAAATTTTCCGCGCCGCATATCTCCCGGATTCTGCGCAATCCCCGAAGCTTCGATTCACTAATAACTTCTCCGATGCGATAGGTTAATCCAAGCCAGGTGGTAAAGGAACGTACCGCTTCTTCTTGCTGTAAGCACGGAATACTGGTTCTGGCTACGCCAGGTAACAGAAGGTGACGTAACCAGAAGGAACGAAAACAAGTTTAGTGCTTCGCTAATAAAACTACTACTTTGTAGCTTCTACCTCCCAGATCTCCTTTTTATTCCTCCCGACCTCCCTTTCTTTCCTCCCAGATATACCGGCTTAGAAGACCGACCTCGCGGAATCCTACATTCCCGGCAGAAGATCGCGAAGGGAGTCGCGTCTTTCCCGCGGCGATTCAGTAGGTCTCGGTTTTCTGCCGTCATTCAGCCATCCCGGGATAATCGCGGATGCATCGTTACTTTTTAATTGGACCTAGGCGACACCGAGGTTTCATGCGACAGCTAGACGAGGACGCAGAAGAAATGAACACTCGCAAGAAACGGGATCGATCCGGATGTTGGGCCTGCACGAAGTGGCACAAGGATGAATCCTAATGAAGCCGGTTGCGGTTGCGAAATACCAGAATCTCCGGTACACGGACTACCAAGTTCTTGGCAGGGAATCGCCTCGAAATATCTTCGAGGTCCGAAACCCAAGTGCCCTTTTTATCTCAAGGAATTTCGCACGCCTCCCGTGGCGATTCCAAGGAGCCATGTTCCATGTCGTATTAAAGAAGATGAATGTCAAACTCGAGGATGTAGACTACCTGCACTGTTCACAATATCTATTCGAAATACATCATACATGAAGTCGAAGTTTTCCTTTTTTCAAGATGAAATACTGTAGACTCCCGTATAACGTGGTTAAGGTGAAGTGGAACACGCCGAGGAACTTGATCGACGTCGATAAAAAAGATTTTTCTAAATGCCTACGTTGCCGACGTTGGTTTTTATATTGACAGCTGTGTCGAATTATATTGGGTATTGTACCAAATGGCATAGTCTACCTGTCGTTTTCGTACAATAAATATCAAGAAATCAAAGTAAAACTCCAGAAATCCTCTGGATTCATGCTTTCTGGGGCCCTAATTGATTGCAGAGGGACACTTTGCGCCATCTGTGATTTTCAGGTGAATTAAATTTTCATTCCGAGACCTCGTATTCCCATTGTTTTGGCATAGAAGCGCATACAACACTTTTTTTGCCTTTATCCCGTTCAAATGCGAGATTATCGATTACCAGAGTGTTATAAATTGTCGTAAAATTGTCCTGACCCTTTCGTTTCTCATATCAGAGCCTTCGATAATTGTATATTGATCGAAATATGAGAGCTCGACGCCATTTTGTTTCTGGTCTGGGCTAAGTTAAAAAATCCAAATTTTGAACGTGTCAGGACAATTCTTAGATGATCAGGAGTGACGTGTCAAAGTTTCGGACAGTTTGGTCTAATACCCTTAAAAAAAATTATTGTATTCGAATCGACTGATTTGAAAGGGGTTTCACTTCACCTTAACACGTTGTGCGCTATATGAATTCGCGTTATAGGAAATCGTGCTGTACGGGAATTTTTCCCGTATAATGCGCATAATGTGTTTTATTTGTACGAAGAATCACATTATATGAAAACAGTAGTTGCAATATCTTTGGCGCGTTATAGGAACGCGTGTTGTAAGAAATCGCGTTGTACGGGAATCTACTGTATTTCGAAATTTCTCATACATTGCGTTCGAGATTTTAGTATACAAGTATATAAATTTTCGAGGGCATTTATGACCGAATCTCGAAATCTTTTGCGTACCAATTTTCCATCACATGCACACAGGCAATTGTATTTATGTATTTTGAGAAAAGCGCGTTTTAGTATATGTATTAAAACTGTCCCAATTTTTTCCTTCAATTTACTGTTCTGTTTAAAATTTAAAATACTTTTGCAGGAATTATCACGAAGAATGGTATTCTTCGAAATGTAACGTACATTAGTCAGATTTTCATTTCAAGTGGCGCTTCTTCAGATTTTAATATATATATGCTCTAGAAAGAGTTCAAATATGAAAACATTTTTTACCAGCATGTCCTCGAATATTAAAAATACAAAAAATATAGGTCGACCATGCGTCCACGAAATACGTTTTATTTGGTCCGATGGATCTTTTTCTTAAGGGAACAAAAAAGGAATAATTCAGTACCCGCGCGTTTGCTTCGAAATCGATTTTTTAGCACGAGCTCCTGGCAAAGGGGCGAAGAAATTGACACTTCCAGTAGGCTAACAGTTTTGGGGCAAAAAACGGGGTTTTCGCGGGTTTTTCTCCGCCCGGAGGGAAGTCGACAAGACGTCCAACGGGTCCGGCTTTTTCACGGTTTTCCCCGCAGACCCCGTGCCGACTTTATTAGATAACTATGACAAAGAGAACGTGAAAGGTCTCTCGGTTGCCAGGCAGCGATCCAGCTTGGCTTCGTTTCCTAGTTGCTCAACGTTCGATCATGGAACAGCCTCCACCGGCCTCTATCAGCCCGTTATCAGGAAACCTGGCGGTGCATACATTACCCCCGAGTACGTTAGAGAGTAGCTCCTATCGGCAGGTTTCCGTTTTTTCGCCGTTCGCGAAACGCTCGACTAGTTCCAGTACGGCAAAATCCAGCAAAACCCAATCGACGCGCTCTCCTTACGGACTCGGGCAAATCCCGATTTTCATTACGCTCTCATTACCCTCCTCGGATCTAAAAATATCATTAATTTAATCTCTCGAGACATCCAAAACGCTCGACCTCGGCCTTTCGGTAAATCTCCACTTTACGCGCATCCCCACCCTGGAAACAAATAATGTTCATTGAATCGGAGAGATGTTTCTTTGAACGGTACCAAAGAAATATTTAGTCAATTCTAAAAAATACTTAGCTGGAATAACCTCAGATAAAGTGTCATAATTCGGTTGAATTCCATTTATTCGAGTTTATCTCAGTGAAATAATTATCCATTGAAGTGACAAAATGTTCCCTCGGTACCGTTCAAAGAAAGACTCCTTTGGTTCGATGAATGTTTCTTCTCAGAGAGCGGCCTTTCGGATTTGCCCTTCGACTACTACCGAGGCCGATTTTTAATTAACGGCGAATGATAAATGAAAATCACCCAGTGCCGAAAAGGTTTAAAGGTTTCCAATTTTCAGCGCGGCCGAGGAATTTCATCCGGTCGGTAAATTATTTAATCCAAGATGCACCTGGCTCGTCTCGGCTGACGCAGCCCGGCTGCAGGTAATTCCTTATTCAGTCCCCGCCGCCGATTACGTGGTCGATCGATGGATCGATTCAGCGACGGCAAAACCGCCGCCTCGAGTTCATCCCGCGCGGCGTCGCATCCTGATTCATCCCTGGGTCCTGGTTCCCGCGAGTGCGAGCGAGACGGGCGACGGGTCTCTCGGAGGTCCGTGAGTCACTGCCGAACTTCCCGGCCTCCGAGCAGGGACGCGGAGCCGCGCCGCGGAGCACAGTGAGACACCCTGCTGCACCGTCCTGCGTCGCGCTGCACCGCACGCCGCGAAGTGTACACAAGGAAGGCCGCGGTCGAACTGAGGGCTCGGACGAAAGATCCGAGACTTTCTCCCGAGGATCGGGTCCCTCCTCTTGCGGTCCTCCTACGCCCGCGAGCACCGATACGCCCTGTGCTCTATTCGACTGCTCTATGCGCCTAGACGTATCTATTGACAGGGGGAAGATACCCATTTTTCTGACAGCTACAGGAACAAATTAAGTTCAAAATGAAAATACGGATTAACCCATTTACTGCCAGCTAAGAGATATCTCGTAGTAAGCGTATATACCTAGCTGCCTCTAAATCTTCCTGACAGTTAATGGGTTAAGGTGAAGTGAAACGCGTCGAGGAACTTGATCGACGTCGATAAAGATGATTTTTCTAAATGCATACGTTGCCGACGTTCGTTTTTATATTGACAGCTGTGTCGAATTATGTTGGATATTGTACCAAATGGCATAGTCCACCTGTTGTTTTCGTACAAGAAATATCAAGAAATCGAAGTAAAATTCCAGAAATCCTCTGGATTCATAAAAGGGCATATACTTTTTTGTCTTTATCCCGTTCAAATGCGAGATTATCGATTACTAGAGTGTTCTAAATTGTCGTAAAATTGTCTTGACCCTTTCGCTTCTCGTATCAGGGTCTTCGATAATTGTATATTGATCGAAATATGAGAGCTGACGCCATTTTGGTTTTGGTCTGGGTTAAGTTAAAAAATTTTGTCTACAATCCAAATTTTGAATGTGTCAGGACAATTCTTAGATGATCAGGAGTGATATGTCAAAGTTTCGGACAGTTTGGTCTAATACCCTTAAAAAAACTGTGTTGTATTGGAATCGATTACTGATCAGACTTTTAAGTATATATTATCATTTTACAGAAAAAGTATTTTGAAACTTTAAAGCCAGTTTGCGAACGATGCCATTCCTCGTTCTTTGTTACAAGATATGTTAAGAAGATTCGGTTCATATTTTGAAGACGGTTGGTAGAATTTATGGATAACAAAATGAACACCGATAAGTATGTAACAGAAAAATTAAGTAAAATTATAGTTCTCCATTAATATTTTGTTGGAAATTTCTTCCATGCGTTTAAACAATGTTTAAATACTACTGGATTTTAATGAAAATGATCATCTTTGAATAGATATTCATGATCCTTTTTTTTTAAACGGAATACTCTGGAGTGATTGGTCTGTCTGAAAAGGTATGACAAACAAAGATATACGCCGAAATACGGTTGTTTTCAAGGTACTATAAATTAAACATTTTTTAATATAAAATGATAAGTAATGGTATCAGTATGTATTTAAACGTACGGTTAATAACACGCTTAAGCTGTATTTAACTATTGTTTCATTTCATTCCTGTACCTGTTTGAAAAATGGGTAGTTTTATCATTGTCAAAAGGTATGAGCCCTTTTAACACTGAAACTGCCAAGTCGATTAAATGATCGGTTTTACAATTTTCTTTGAAAATTATTCCTTCAATTTTATTGCTTTTCCTCAATAAATTTCACTACTCTACGAGTTTGTTATTCTGAAACATTTTAAAGTAGAAACTTAAAGAAAATTTAAGATAAAAGAATTGATCTTAAATTTTCCGCAAAACATAAAATGAAACACCTCTGTAAGAAAATATTTCATATATCTTTTCATACTATTTTAAGCTCATTTCGATTAAAACAGCATTTATAAGGATGGTAAAGGGCTAAAAATCATCAATTTTGAAACGAGTATGTTTTAATATCGCAAAGACGTTACCGATTGAAAATTAAAAATCTATGTAGTCAATGGGACATTTTATTTAGCGACGACTACGAGTACGAGAACGTATCCGCCGATACGTTGCATAAAAATAGGAACACGGGGTAACTATTCGAAAAATCTACATCCCCACAGTCAGAAATTTATGGGGAGCGAAAACAAGACGACGCCGCCCCGGGAATGAATGGATATAGGAAAAGAAAATATACTGCTTTTTCAAGTTAAAATAGATCCCTGCGAAACCCGATATCCAGACGTAGCTCGAAAGGAATCCTGGTGGATTACGCGGGTGTAGAAAAAGTTACGCGACGATTTTTACAGGGGGCAAGGAGAGACGAGGGTGCCCCAAAGACGAATGGGGTCCCAAAATGGAGTTGCTTCGACTCTCGACCCTCGTAAAGTAAAAATAGAAGCACATAACTTGAATGGGTGCCCTTCCTCCGTGCCACGTGCCCAAGTGAAAAAGGTCATTGATTTCAAAAATACGAAAATAAAAACCTCAATAATTTCGAACATCTACCCTATCGTCGATGTCAAAATCCGTTGTGCGCGA